CCTCTGATCATGCCTGTGAGGGAGTATCTAGGTTGGGTTAGCCTCTGATCATGCCTGTGAAGGAGTATCTAGGTTGGGTAAGCCTCTGGCCATGCCTGGGAAGGAGCAACTTGATTAGGTAAATAGACAGTGTTTCCTGGGCTCTGGTCCTGAACTGCAGGAAAAGGAGAGAGGGAGCTGGCATCAGCATTCCTGGTTCTCTGATTTCGATCGTGGATATAGTGAGAGCAGTTGCCTCCAGCTCCTGCCTCCAGGACTTTCCTGTCACAACTGTCATAACAGGTTGTAGCTTATAACTGTGCACCCAAATAAACCCTTTGCCTCCAAAGTTGCTTTTGTTGTCAGAATATTTTGTCGCAGCAGTGAAAAATAACCAAGGTAAAACCCAAGCATATCGGGCTTTTGAGCAAAGCCTTTCTCCTTCCTCCAGCAGCTTTAAAGGATCCTTAGTACAGCTGTGTCTAGACCTCCAGTGCTGTTCTTGTGATGCAGGATTTAACTTCCCAGACTGAAATCCTATCCAAGACACTCCCAGAGCCACCTTATTAAAGGAAAAGAGGAAACAGGAAAAAAATGCTTCTTAGCAACCTTTTGAGATGCAGCTTGGCAGCAACCAAGATGCTATATCCAGCTGCTTGTAAGAAACTAACGTATGAGTCTCTTGAGAATCTAAACTTCACCCTTGAGTATGTCTTATGTTTTCCTTGAGTGCCTCTCTAAGCCCCATGCTTATGACTCTGCTGAAGTCTCTTAGTAAACTCCAGTCCTGCTTCAACCTGACTTGTCCTGAAATTCTTTTCTGTGACAAACATCACGAACCCCGTCTTCCCCAGAATAAAGGTCACTGAAAAAAAGTATTTGGGTCTCTGGCTGATGCCCCAACTGCTGCTGGCTCTGTCTGAGTGTAGTGGATGCTCTGTACATAATTGGTAAAGTGGCAATGAGTGTGTAAAAATGAACTAGAGGGCACCATTTCCAATAATAAAACCATTTCCAATTTTAACATTTTCCTGTCTCAAAAAAAAATGTAATGATGAATCTCGATATCGGAGAGGGCCACAATTCCTTCCCTACTCACTCATTCTTTTAGTTTGGTTTTCCAAGACAGGGTTTCTCTGTGGCTTTGGAGGCTGTCCTGGAACTAGCTCTTTGTAGACCAGGCTGGTCTTGAACTCACAGAGATCTGCCTGCCTCTGCCTCCCGAGTGCTGGGATTAAAGGTCTGCGCCACCACCGCCTGGCTCATTCTTTCCAAGATAAAATTTGTTTCTCATGCTCTTTGGGGAAGGAGTTTTGAAAAGTCTTGGCCAGTGCCTTTGTTAGTCAGCATCAGGATACTCCAGCTAGCTAAGCTATGCTGGGGAAGGGTTTATTTTGGCTCACAGTTGGGGCTTCCAGCTGTGACTGTTTGACCATATTGCCTTGGGTCTGTGGGTAGGCAAGGCATCAAGGCAGGAACCTGTGAGTGAAAACTGCTTAAATAAAGACCCAAGGGCTCAAGGTAGGCAGAGGCCAGAGTTCTATAGTCCCTTTGAGAACACCTTTGGGAGCCCAAGGCTCTCACTAGGCTGTACCTCCAAAGGACCCATGACAGGCACTTTGAAGCCGTTGCTACGAAGCATCAGCTCCTCATTTGGGTCCATAGGTAACTGAACGCAGCAGGGAACATTTACTTTTATTTTTCTGTCTTTTTCCTTTGTGTCAGACTCCTGCTTACCCCTGCAGTAGAAATGCCAATTTCTTAAGGTGTGTCTATCATTGGGTGTGTGTATGTCAAGAAAACCATTGTAACACAGCCATCAGCAGCCGGAGAAGTTCCCTTTCTCCTAAGTGACTTAGGCTCAGGTAAAGCTGGCCATAGAAAGGGATTTCTGGATGAGCCAGAGTGAAACGAAGCTAGTGAGTTTAGTTAATGGGCATTTAGGCAGGGATTCTTACAGGAAACTAGCAGTGTGTAATCTCAGAACAAAGATGTAGGGATTTATGGGCCTGTATGTTTGGTCCTGAGGTTTTCTAAGTTACAGCCCACAAAGGATGTAATTTTCAAGACATAAGGATTAAGCAATGCTCAAAATTAAAGATTTTAAATGAAGGGGAAAATGTGAGATGGTGTAGTTATTTTTGTATCAATAATTTCTCTTTGTAAATGTAATTGTGAGGCATTTCCAAGGGTGTGGTGCTAGGATTTAAGGATGGATAAGCAAAGAGTGAGATATAGTGGGACTCAAGGGCACAGATCTTCTGGGCTTCAGTAAGCACCATTCATTGGTTTTTAATTATTTGATTTTTATTTTTCGCGAATAGGAGTTTTGCCTGCATATATGTCTGCGTACTATGGGCATGCCTGGTGGCCATGGAGAGCAGAAGAAGGCATCAGATCTTCTGGAACTGGAGTGACAGTTGTGGGTTGGTTGTGAGCTGCCATGTGTGTGGTGGGGGGGAGGGGGGAATTGAACCAAGGTCTTCTGAAAGAGTAGCCAGTTCTCTTAACCACTGAGCCACCCTCATTTGTTGTTTTAAATATTCTCATTTGCGATGCCTTTAAGTAAACACATAATCTCACTGTAGGTAATTTTGGCTTCACAAGTCCTGTTGAAGCTTCTGGGCTCTCAATAGGCAAACTAGATCTCAGAGTGGGGATCTTTCTTCCTTTCTCATGTCCATTTAATTTTCCCTGTCTTTCTGTTTTGCCTTGTGTAATTAGCCTATCTCACCCCCTGCAAGGATGAAGGCACAGAGACCATTTGTTGTCCTAAACCTGAGGCCACTTTGAATTGCAGGAACAGGGCAAACCAACTACCTCCCTGATGAAGACAAGGCTGAAGCCTTGAACAAAAGTGATTTGTTTCCTGAGATCCAGCTTATCCTCATAAGCAATTCGTCTTTCTTAGACCACTTTGCAGAATCAGCTGAGACAGTGATCAACAGACTGTACCTCAACTTTGTGCATACCCTGTGCTCCTGTACCCCGATTCTCTCCTGTTAAAACCTAGAGCTCATCATCAGTACCCCAAAGATGAAGTTGAAGAATCCCTGGACTCTTCCTGACGCTCACTAGCTCTCCTTCCTCTGCTTTTAGCATGGCTGCTCTTTTTAATTGGCATATTGCATTGTCTAGCCGAGTCTAGCCTGCTGGGGCTGATGGATCCGGGGCAACTGCTCCTGAATGTCTGGTGACAGACCCACTATCTAATAGTAGTACTACCCTGGGGACAAAGCCTTTAGTACATGGGTGTCAGGGGACATTCCACATGAAGCCATGGTGATGAGGAACTGCTTGCTTTGTACACAGGAGTGAATACATTTTGAAGATGGAAACTTCCGTTCCATTTATAAAAGCATGAGGAGTATAGTTGTGTGCACTGCTGGGCCAGCTTTTCGTTCTGCAGGAGTCATTTTTAAAATAAATTATTTCCAGCAAGTAAATCAGGGAAAACATTTCACCAGTGTGTTTTATTGTCAATTACACACACACACACACACACACACACACACACACACACACACATCTCTCAAGAGTGTTTTTGGCTACCTCTGGGATTAATTAACTTTCAGTTTCTAAAAGTGTATTGGGCAAAATAATATGACTCCAGTGCTGGGAAACACTGACCTGAGTTGTACAGAGGTTGAAGCTAGGAAGTATGTGTACTGCCTGTGTTTCCACTCTGAACAGAGCTGGCAATTACAGGGAATCAAAGCCGAGCGAATGTCTGGGCTGCATTCAGTTCACGGACAGCCGTCTTGAATTGAGAAAAAGAACGTATCTCAGGCTGCCTGGGATCCAGTGCTTTTAGCCTCCCAATTTGAAATGTAGATGGAGCTAGTTTCTCACTTCCACACCCAGGCACTGTACAAAGAGCAAGTTACAGGCTTACAGAAGGCAGTAATGAGGCCCCGAGGATAACTGAGCACCCCAGCCCAGTCCCCTGGGTGGAGGTGGGGGACAGAGTGAGGCATTGGTCTTTGTGGCTTGCTCACCCAATGGCTGTCTCCACCATGCCCCTTCCTGCTTTTGCTGGGCCAGCTTTGCTATACTTTTCCTTCTGTGCAGCAATTTGGGTGAAGGGAAGGCATGTGTTTTTTGTTGCTGATTTGCTTATTAATTTACTTACTAAAACAGGAGCTCAAATAGACCAAGCTGGCTTTGAACTTACTATGTTACCAAGGCTGGCTTTGAACTTCTGATCCTTCAGCTCCACCTCCCAAGTGCTGTGAGTACAGATGCCTGATTTATGGGATCAAACTCAGACTTCCTGGATGATAGGATAGCACTGTCATTCGAGCTCATCCCCAGCCCCTGGCAGAAGGATCTGAGCTTTGATCTAAATGAGTGTGGATTCTTCAGGCTTAAGCTCGGGTTCTTGGAGTAGTGTGTTCTGTGCCTCTGTTAGTGTTGAGGACTACGCCTCTGCAAAGTTTCCCTGTTGGTGGCTTCACTAACTTAGCACGAGAGCCCAGTGGTTAGGGAGGGGAGTGAGTGTGTCTGAGGACTCCTTGTCATGTGAAAGTGCAATGGTAGCGTTGTTTTTGGGTCCCCTACTCTACACTGCTGAGATGATAGGCTGCCAAATATTCTACAGACCCCAGGGATTGTCTCAAGGGGCTCAGAAGTCCTGTGTTTGTTTGCTTTAGACAATGCATCTTCTTATCTACTTTCCGGGTAAAATTTCATTTGAAGCTAGAGATCCAGGGCTTCTAGTGAGTTTGGGGACTACTGATAACAGCTGGAGTTTTGCCCGTGAGGATGAAGAACTGCGAGCAGACAGAGCGCGCCATGCTGCTGAGGGTGATGGAGTGAGAGGAAACACCGTGAACAGACTGGCTTAACTAAGCAGAATGGTGCTCACCACAGGGACCCTGAGTCTGCCCCGGGTGTCTGTCTGGAGACTGTGCATTTGGGGTCTTTTGCTTCTCAGCTCTGTAACTAATGTGATGGGCCAGCCTAGGAACCAGGGTGGAAACTAACAGGTGATGGCACCTTCTTACTTGTCTTCCTTCCAGTGCACTTACATCTCAATCAACCAAGTTCCCAGGACCCACGCCATAGTGATAAGCAGACCTGCCTGGCTCTGGGGGGCAGAAATGGGAGCCAATGAACATGGAGTATGTATAGCCAATGAAGCCATCAATGCCAGAGAACCAGCTGCTGAGACGGAAGCCTTACTGGGGATGGATCTGGTCAGGTACGGAATGGTGATTCTTTGAAACAACTATTTTCTCCTTTGCTTACTGTACTGTAAGAAGTTCTATTTAATAAAAATTCTAAGATGATGGAAAAATGGAATAGATGATAATGGAATATTATTAATCCATAAAATAATTAAGTAGTGCTATGTGTTACAAATGGGATTCTGAGAACATGATATACTCTAAGTGAAAGACATCAGATACAAATGTCACATACGTGACTGAATGGATGAGTACATAAAATAGAAATGATACTGGATGTGTAAAATTTAATGGGAAGCTTCACAGCTTACATTTCGAATGTTGATTTTTAACTGGACAGCACAAATCTAAGGATGACTGAAGGTGACAGAGAGGGGAAGCGGGGAATTCTGGGATGTGATGACACCCAAGTGGTACAAAATATCAGGACTATCCCTTCACAGACACTTCTGGATGTGAATTCCAGACCTCTATAGACCCTGGGTGTTTGGAGACTCTGTGTCTGGTACACTTGGGATGTTTAGGGTAGACGTGCTCCATGTGGATCTGTAGGACTGAAGGATAGAGACAGAGAAGCTATAATTGGTGGGTAATAGGTGCTGAGAGAGTGATCAAGGTCTGGGGTAATAAAAAATGCAGGAGTCGATGATGGCTGAGCAGCAGCCATTTAAATTGACATCTCCCCGACCCCTGGCTGGCACATAGCTGTTGCAATAAGAACAGTGTGACAAATACCCTGAGCCTAATGGAAGCCTCTTGGAGGGGGTGCACAGTCTGTAGCTAGAGTAGACTTCTAAGTTCAGGGTCTTGTTTGGGATCTGGTCCCAGCTTTAAACCGGGGAAGCCTAGTCTTTCATACCAAGCAAGTCCCATGAATGACTCCTGAGCGCAGAGTCCTCCAGTGTTAACGGGGGAGCTATAGAAAAGTGGCTACTGTAGATCAGTGGTTCTCAGCCTTCCTAATGCTGCAACTCTTTAGTACAGTTCCTTATGTTGTGGTGACCCCAGCTATAAAATTATTGCCATTGCTTCTGTACTTGCTACTGTTATGAATCGTAATCTGTGTTTTCTGGTGGTCTTAGGCAACCCCTGTGAAAAGGTCCTTTGACCCCCCCCATGGTGTCGTGACCCACAGGGTGAGAACCACTGATGTAGATCACAACCACAGCACTGTGAGTGGCAAAATTCTAGGGCAGCTGTTCTAAAAAGCATGGCCTCCCCAGAAACACTGCCCAGGAGCCCAGTAGAAAGGCAGATTCACAACACCCTCACCCCCATGGGACTGCATGTGGGGTTGGCCCACAGTCTACCTCAGGAGGCAGGTGGAGCATAAGGCAAAGAGCATACTGCTGCACAGCTGGAGATTGCCTTCCACACGGGACCCAGGCTCTTTCAGCTGTGCTGTCAGCAGCATCATTTCTTGTGCTGTCCTTGTTTGTCCTCTGTGCTCAGCTGCCAGCTTCTTGGGCAGCTCCTGGAAGAGCAGACTATTTATATTTCACACTCTGCTTCAAGTGTCTGTGAGACTGTGGCTGAGTATTCAAAGACTATAGCTGCTCCCACCTGCATACTCTGGTCCTTTGTGCCTTGCATCTCTACATCAAGGATAAGCGCAGCTCCAAGAGATGTAACTGAGTGACAGCCTCCATTTAATAGGCACTGTCTTCAGGGTAAAGGTATAATTTGTATGTGTTTCTTAAAGGTGTGTAGGAATGCAAGCATTAAGCAACACTTGTTATAATTCATTCTTAGTGCTAAAAGCCAAGCTGTGTCTGTCTGGTTTTGGCATCCCCCCCCCCACTTCCCTTCTTTCATCCATGGTTCACCTCTCCCTCCCTCTTTCTGTCCTTCTTTCCTTCTCTCCTTCTGTCTTTCTTTCCTTCTTTCCTTCTCTCCTTCTTTCCTTCCTTCCATCCCCCTCCCTGTCTGTATCCCTCCCTTCCTCCTCCCTCTTTCTTATTTATGGATCTCTGACTAGTCCTTCCGAAGACGCCCCCCTCTGTGCATATAAACAAGTACACATGCTTTGCTTGTTTAGTGACTATGGATCCATCTGGTTGAAGCTAACCTAAGATAGGAGGTTAGCAATTGGCAGGAGCTAACATAAGACAGGGGGTTAGCAGCTGGCAGGACCTAACTTTAAGATGGGGAGGGTTATTTTCTGGAAGTCAAGGTATCTCTTACACCTGAGGTCCATTACATCTGAGGTCTGCCTGTCCTGATGATGCCTCCTGGCCTCGATCCAGATGAGGACCAGGAGGTGTTTGGATTCCATTAGACAGTGGTATACTGGGAAATACCTAATAATCAGCTAGAAGTGGATAGCAGTCTTAAACTGTGGCCTTTCCAACACCTGTGGTGTAAAAACTCCAACCATGAAAAATTAAAAGGTGATGAAGGATTAGCAACTGCCTCAAAAATCCCTCAAATTTAACCCTCTGTTTTCCAAGCAGGCAGGTGCCAGCCAGCTGCACAGAGCACTGCATTCTGTCCATCCGGTGTCTGTCCCTTACACAACAGCTTCATCCTTTTATTTTGCTACAGAGCAATCTCTCCTTCATTTCGTGTGTGTGTGTGTGTGTGTGTGTACATGGAGACCCACGGTTGATGTTCAAAACCTTCCTGTGTCACTCTGCCACCTCATTCTATTAGGGAGGGTCTTTCAATAAGACCCAGAGCCTTCCAGCATGGCTAGCCCCCACTCCAGGCAGCTTGCTCTGGGTATTCTTCTGTCTTTGAGTCCCCAGGGTGGGGCTGATTACAGCTGAGCACCCAGCATTACATGATATCTGAACTCTAGTCCTCTGAGCCATCCCCCTGTAGACTGACTTTTCCTGCTTCCGACTGGGTTTGATGTTGGCACTAAACCGGCCACTCTAGGTGTTTCAGAGCATCTTATAATTCTAAACACAGCCCTTCAACTGCTCCCCATGGCAGAAAAAATGGAAAAGCTTTTGGTTTTATAGTAGGTTTTAAGATTATACAGGAGCCCATAGGTGATGGGAAAGGAGGCCCAGTCAATACCTGTGGGACACCCCAAATAGTTAAGTCTTCTAATTCCTTATGGTAGACGAGGAAACTAGAAATTAGGGAAGTTAAGTGACTTGTCCAATGCCCCAGAGCTAGAAGGTGGCTGAGCTAGGAATACCAGGGTACCACTTCTCTCTCATGCTTTACTTCTTCCAGTGAGACAGAACACTGAGATGGAAAGGAGTCAAAAGGTCTCGAACACCCTCTTCCCTGTCAGAATATGAAATGACAGCAGCTTTAGTTTTAGACTGAGTTGGCGTTTGTTCATGATGTATGAATCAGGGCAGCCTTCATTCTGGAAAACAGAACAAGCTCACAGCAGGCAAGAGTGGAACACTAGCTTTTACAGAGTGGAAAAGTAGAAACACAGCTACATGGGGAAGAAAAAGAAGCCCACTAACATTAGGTGACTTTGGGTTACTTTCCTGTAAGAATTACAGTTACAGGGACTTTCTTATGCTCACCCACACAGAGTAGAATCTATTGTTTGCTAAAGAGAAGCAAGAGTAGCTATCTCTGCCTTCAAAAGCTCCAGTTATGGGACATCTAGCACAGGAAACTCCAGTTTGGACTGGTCAGCTGAGGCCTGTTGCAGGAGCTCAATCCAAAACAATTCCATACATTTTAAAGTTCAAGCTCACACAGTACATAGCATCCACTTAACACATTTCTTAGTCTGTTCAGAGCATCATAATAAATCATAAAAGACTGGGAGATTTAAATGACAGGTATTTATATCTTAGTTCTGGAGGCTGGGAAGTTCAAGATCACAGAGTCAACAGGTCCCATCTGAGGTATAGCTGGCCATAGCAGAGAGAGAACAAACAGCTTTTTATGTCTTTTTGCTACAGGCCCTGATATCATCACGAAGAGTCTATCCTCATGGCCAGTCCCCACAGCTTCAATCGCCACCACACAGGGCAAGTGGCTTCAGCATTTGAAAATGGGCACAAATTTTCTATCCATAGCATCATCCTATGCCCATCCCTTTCTGAGAATCTTCTTAATGTCCAAAAGGCCACCAACTAGAGGGATCTTGAGGATGCATTGGTAGGAAGAGGGCCGGGTAATTTGTTACAGAGCCCTCTAAGAACAGTGTCCTTTGAGAACAGGATCCTCTCGGGTGGGCTATCAATTCTTTCCATTACTTGCCTCAGAATAGCAGCGGCTTACCAAACTCAATCCAGTTTTTACCTGGTTTTTCTTATTTGGAGTACAGAGAGGAGCCCCTTCTAATGTACAGAGTCATAGATGTGGCAAAGCTCAGCCAGCAGATTCCTAAACCAAAGTGCAGATACTGTCTGAGGAGCTCTCCCTTCAGCAATGGGCAGGGAAGAATGACCCACCCGTGAGCAGACTATGGGACTCATTTTTTTTTCTCTTTCATAAAACCAAGACTTGAATTCAGGAACATCTAACTCAGACCCAGAACAACTTAAAAAGGTTCCTTGGAAGGAAGCGGATGTCTGAATGGGACTAGCATAGGCCATTCCAACCCATCTCTGTCCTGGTCTTTCTTAGGCTAAGGCACAGCCACCAAGTCAACTTAGGCACTGGGCCAGAAGCATTCTGTTTTCATTTGGAATCCTGTGCATCTAACCCATCTGGAAATCTAGAGTGGTTGATGGCAGCATCAAAACATGCCTTAGGATGATGAGTGATGGCTTCCCATTCAGTAACTCGGGACTCATCTATACCTCTTGAGCTCAGGGCTTGAAGTCCCAGTGTCCTTACAGCCCTTATGCTGTGGAGTAGGCCATCCTGTCCTCATCTAATGGCCCGGAAGCCAGGTGGGAATGGTCACGTGGGTTATAGGCTTAGGTAGCAGTTAACCCATGGTGTCAATCTGACAAGCAGTGAAATCAGAATTCCTCCTGCATTTTGGGATGAAAAGGAAGGACAAGCACAGATCCTGGATGGGATTTCAGTAGGCAGGACACCAGCCACTCACACTAAGATTTACAGAACACAAATTCCAACCTCCAAATACTATTGCACACAGCCATGGTTGTATGCTTCTGAAATAGGTTTGTGTGGGTCCATTTAGGCCTGCAGAAGCCTGGAGGCATTGAGACATGAAGCATTGTGACCAGGAACTCTGGAAAAGACTTTCCTCCAAATCCTTGAGATGCCCCTCCTTTGAGGAGACAATGACATTGACAAAGGAAACCTATTTAATGTATATTTCAATGAGTTTGTTCTTTTATTCATGCAAGGGATAGATAATATGTCATCTTTGAGGGAGGAAGGGAGGTCTCAGACAACAGTTTGAAACTAGCTGCCCTATTTGTGAAGCCCAAGGTTCAGCATTTTCTTTTATTACTCTCTCAAGGCCCTAGGGTTCAACTTTGTGAATTGTGGCTCTGTAATCACGTCTTCCTAAATAAACTTAAAAGGAGACCTGTCAAGTGAATTGGTATATGATGCTCTGACTATGGAACAAGCCCATTACAGGGCTCAGTCCAGAGCTCGCAGTTGCGTTATCCTTTCTTCTCCATGACAGCACAGTGGGGCATCCCTTAGGAAGCATTCAGTTGAGAGAATTTAAGTAGTCATCACTTCTAAAGTCATGAATTTATCAAGGACAGGCTTATGTCACCACCTAAGTAGCTCTGCTGCCCTCTTCTAAGATGTGAGCTCTTACAAGCAGAGCAATAGTCTGACTGAATTGATGAATACATGAACTAAATGCATCTCATGGCTGTTTTCTGTCATCTCAGCTAGAGAAGGAGGGATTAGCATGAGCACATTGCCAGCACGAGCACAAAGAGCTGGGAAGGTCACATGACTAAGGACATACTAGCGTCGAGTAGCATTACCAGAGCTGGATCCAGGTCCACGCTCTATGAGTGTGTGTGCCACAGCCTTCCATCTGCTGAGGTTGGTTGTTACTAGCTTGGCTCCAGTCACTAGTGCTATGTGTTTCCATGTTTATTACCTTATATCACCCTGATAACCTTGACACTTTTCATAGATGGCATAAGACTGAAGTTCAAATCTATTACGTAAGCTGCCCAAGCAGCCGTGTAGCACAACTTCTAGTTGGTGTTAATAATAAAAACTGGGAGTCAGATATTGGGGGATAAAGCTGAAAGACCAGAGAAGCAAAGCAGGCAAGCTACTAGAGAGTTCAAAGGGGCAATCCTGTCTCAGCATGACTGTAGTGTGACTGACTCCTGTCTTTTCCCTTCTTATATTCCTCCCTAGTGCTGGAATTAAAGGCTTACACCTGGCCTCAATAGCTAACTAATATGGCTGTTGGGACTAAAGGTGTGTGCCACCACTGCCTCACCTGTATGGCTGACAAGAGTGGCTAGCTTTGCATTCTGATGTTCAGGCAAGCTTCATTTGTTAGACCACAAACAAACTATCCCCCACACAGAAGGCAGTATCTGTGCTCTCCTTAACAGACTTATTCATTGATAGGGCTGGGGAAGGAAGATGAATGGCTCACTTTGGAAGGAGTCTATGTTCTTTTGGTAGTTGACTCTGTAAGCAACATGAGTTGATACAGTCTGATGTGTAGGAAGGAAGTATGTAGAAACAGAACCGGTCATATTATAACCTTTTCCTAATGAGATCTCTGAGCAAATTGTATGTACAGAGGACAATGGCTGGCAATGAAACCTTAAAACCAATTTCCTCAGTCTACTCTAGAATGATATAAGAAAATAACTTAAATGAGCCAGTATGTAATGTCTAGTGTGGATACATTCTGATTCATACATGGCACCTATTTACTGTGTCCTCAAATGGTAGAAGAAGGCAAGACAGCATTCTGGAGAAACCTCTTTTGTAAAGGACACTAGTGGCACTCATGAGGGCGCCACTTCCACGACTTCACCATCTCCTAGAAGACCCACTTTCTGCTACCCCCTGTTAGGTGTTAGGATTTCAACATGAGCATTGAGGAAACACGAATAGACTATAGCAGTATCTAAAGCACCCCCTGTAGGGTAGCAGTTAATCCAGGCTGTGGAGATCTCTTTTTCTTTAGGAAGTAGTCAGGAGGAATCCAGGCTAGAGCTGAGCTTGACAGGTGATATGATCAGCCAAGAGTAAGGAGGAGCTGACCTTCCGGTCCAGGGAATGTAGCCACTGGCCCCTGATATGTCTATGCTTATGGAAGAGGGTTGTCTAAAGACAACACATTTCTACAGTTTGTAATGGATATGTGAGAGAGGCATTCTGAGTGAAAGTACTATTATAATTAGTTCACATATTGGTCTGAATATTTAAAATGTTTCCTGCCATGACCTTGTCCCAACCTTTGGCTGCTATGGTAATGATCATCTGGTCTGAAATGATGGAGGTATGCTTCTGATTTCCTTCAGGCTTGGTTTAGAGCGAGGAACAACAGCAAAAGAAGCCTTAGACGTCATTGTGTCCTTGTTGGAGGAGCACGGACAAGGTGGGAATTATTATGAAGATGGACTCTCCTGCCACAGCTTCCAAAGTGCATATCTGCTGGTGGATCGTCATGAAGCCTGGGTGCTGGAGACTGTGGGGAAGTATTGGGCCGCCGAGAGGATCACAGGTGAGGGGTTGCAGGATAGAGTTTTAAGGATAGGACAGGCGGAGGTGATGTTGGTCAGACAAGCTGGGCTGGCTCAGAGGAGCTACGATGCTGTGATGCATCCTCTCGTCTTTAGGCTTAGGCATGCCTCTCCCCTCCAGGTATCTGTTTCCAGAGATAGACATGGGGTCTCCTGAGTCCTGTGAAGGACTATTCCTCAGCAAGTACATGCCTGACTTTCTACACTTCCTGTTTGCTTTTTGGGCATATTTAGCTTTGAATACAAACCATGACTATGAGTTAGGCAAGGGAATGGGGGATTCTTCATTCATAAAAGGTCAACAAACCCCTTGTCACTCCCAGATCCATTGCTACTTAACTGTTCTTCTAAAATGGGAACTTGTGTCTATGAAGACTATTGAGTGCCACTCAGGGCCAACCAGGTCATATGGCTGAGACTCCGTCCCTAGAAGAGCATGGACTTACTTGGCCCTGTACATGAGAAGTGTCACTCTAGTTCATGTAGCTTCTTGCTTCTGGGACAGGAATTGGACAGGGTGGTGGGACAGTGTGCCACCAACCCAGCACCCTCCTTCAGAATCCCAATAGCATAGGGTGCTAGAATCCTTTAAAGGGCTTCTAAAAAATGTTCCAAAGAAATCTGGTCAACAGCAGTTCCCTTACAACCCTTGGGACAGCTTGAAAACTGCACATCATGGGCACTGCCATCTTCCCCAGCTGAGGTCCAGGTAGCCCCAACTAGTGCCCCGTCATGCTTGTGTCTTGTTGAACCTCTACACGGCTGCATATTTTTCAGCATATTTTTTTAGTATGAAGTCTTTATCAATTAATTATGAAAGCTATTAGATATGCAACCTGTTCACCACCCTAGTTTTTAGGTAATCAGAACCAAATCTGATCTGAGCCAGGTCTTGTATGGTCACTGGGAATCAAACCTGATTTTGTGCACAGGTTCCAGTGACCAAAGCTCCCCCCAAGACTAGTGTGTGTTCTCTGTACAAAGTTGCTCTGCTGAGACCAAGAAGTCTAGACCAGTTTCCTGTGTGTGTGAAGACTGTTTGCTCATTCTAACAGGATGTGGAATGGGCTGACAAAGCCACCAGCAGCACAGGGAGGTTTTCTGTCCTTGTGCCCAGCATACATCTCTCAGGGCCTATGCGTGCTCCTTTCCCAAGCCTTAGAGTGTTTGTAAATCAAAAGCCCCTCCTCGAGACCTCCAGCTCTCCTTCCCTGCAGGAACTTAAAACTCCTTTACAGAAACCCTCCTAAAATAAAGTAATGTTATCAGATGGCTCTCTCAGGAAGGCGGGTGGGCTGTACTTCAAAGCCATCCAGTTGCTTTTAAGTAGACTCTAACACTTTTTGATCTGCAGCTACATTTCAGAAGCTGAACTTTCTCCAAAGCATCACTTATAAAAGTCCTTCTCTACAAAACACATGTTGTTTTTTCACTAAACATTTTTTTCAGCATCCTTTTTTTTTTTTTAAATCATTGATTTTCTTTTCTCTGACCCCAGCAGCACTGTGATTGATGTTGGAAAGGAGTTAATACACTCTGTCCTCAAAGTTCTGATTCTTAAAAACAAATGTCTACTATAAATCAGCCCTCTAGGAAAATAACATCTGTGGAGTATAGAATAACGTTTCTTTGAATAGCTTAGTGTGAATGGTATCAAAGTCACTTTTTTGGACCATAACTGTTTTCTGTTGCCTAATTAAATTTTGTATTAGCGATACCCTCTGTAAAAAATGAATGGCCAACGACCAGTGCCTCTCAGTCAGGAGTGCATATTTTGGAGGTGTAAATCATCAAAGCATCCTGGGAAAACTCAGTCCAGCTGATGTTGCTTCTAGGGACCCAGAATCAGGTGGCTGTAGTGGATTCAAGCAGTAAGAGGTCCATTGTAGCTTCTTCTTTCATTCTTACTTCATCCTCCAAAAAACTGGAAGCTCAGCATGCTTCCCGGGAACAGCCACTGTGAACAACCCTTTTGAGCTAGCAATGGTAACCTGGCCTCCACAATCTAGACAGCCCTTTGACGTTTAGGGACCAAGTCACCCTTCATCTGTGTGGGTGTGTGGTGGTGGGGGTTGCAGAAGTGCTCCTCTAGGAGGAGGAACCTGTGAATGTTGTGGTTCTCAACCTTCCTAAAGCTTCGATCCTTTAATACAGTTCCTCATGCCGTGGTGTTCCCCAAGCATACAATCATCTTCATTGTTACTTCATAACTGTAATTTTGCTAAAGTTATGAATCATAATGTAAATATCTGATATTCAGGATATCTGGTGTGCAAACCTCCGTGGGGTCACAATCCACAGTTTGAGAACCATTGCTGTAGCAGAATCACATAAGGATTCCCCAAGTCTCGTAAGCACAGCAAGACAGTCCTTTCAAAGGACTGCTCAATTTTCCTGTAAACATGAATGCTTGGGGCTTACGTAGTTCAAATAAAGGGCCTCAAGTGTTTTATTTTGTTTGTGAATTTTAAGACCAGTAAAGCTCAGATGTCCCTCTAAGCTGTGATAATGTCTGATGGAGACAGGCTGAACCTTTTAGGACGTTTCCTGGAGTGAGGACCAAGGATTTCATGTTTCTCACCTCAGAGATGGTCCTGATTCCTCTGTGTAGTCCTGAGAGTCCTCCTGCTAACCACACATCAAACTCTTTGCAGAGGGAGTGAGGTGCATCTGCAATCAGCTTTCACTCACCACTAAGATGGATGAGGAACACCCAGAACTCAGGACTTATGCTCAGAGTCAAGGCTGGTGGACGGGAGAGGATGAATTCAACTTTGCCCAGGTTTTTTCTCCAGCTGATGACCATGTGGACTGCTGTGCAGGCAAAGCCTGCTTAGAAAAGCAAGAGGGTAAGTTGACCCATCCCCTACAATTCTCCCTCTATGCTCGTTGATTCTTGACTGAACTTTAGAGTGTTGACAAAGAGGAGGAGTTGAGAGTAAGCCTTGCATGTTAAAGACCAATTTATATCTTCTGTCCTTGGCGTGCAGCAAGGAGACAGCATGTATGTGTTACATGCAGCTTCCACACCTGTAGGAACCTGTGGGGGGTTTCTTATTCCCACTGATATGAGCTTGCTGTCATATGATCCCTTGTGGGACTCACTGCAGCCTTCCTTACAGCTCCAGAAACTTGGGAGAACCCCTCTTCCCCAGCTCACTTAGCCTGCAGGAGAAGCCTTCTGCTCATTTTGAGATCTTCCCTTGATGCCTGGGTTCTGCTTCTATCCGTGAACTTCTGCAGTGGACTGTCAAACTGGATTCTCTTTCTAATCCATTTAGCAATGCCTGACATCATTAAATTCTGATTAAGAACCCATATTTAGGTAAATGTGTTGAATAAATAGCTCCTCGTTTATATGTGTGAATAGAAACTGCCCCCGGGCCTATAATGGTCACATTTTGTATTTGCTAGTTCTCATGCATATCTGTCAGTCAAAAGATCATTTAGAACTAATGGCTGCAAAGCATGTCCTCAAACAGCCGCTTCTCTTGTGAATAAAATTTTATTGGAAAACAGTCATATCATGCTAGTCAGTTTTCTTATCACTGTAGCAAAATTCCAGAGATTAAAAAAGAAATGATTCAGGAGAAAAGCTTACTTTGAGTTGTAGATTCAGAGATTTTGGTGCATGATCAGTTACTCTATTGCTTTTGGGTCTGAGGCAGGAACAGGTCTCACAGCTGTGGAAGCATGTTGAAGAAGCTGCTTGCCTCATGATGGCCAGGAAGCAACAATGAAAGCGTGTGTGGGGTAGGGTGGGCAGAGTCCCAATATCTCCTCAAGACCCCCAAGTAGCCCATCTTCCTTATATTAGGTAGGACCCCATAGCCTGGGAACCAAACCTTCAGCCCTTGGGCCTTTGGAGGACATTCCAAGTCCAGCTGCAGCTCAAATTCACTTCATTATGTACTGCCTATGGCCACCTTTGTTCTAAAGCATGGAGCTGGATTGCTATAGGGACAGTGTGATGGAGAACACATGGTCCAGAGGCTTAAAATAGCTTCTGTCTGGTTCTTTAAGAAAATGTTTTCTGATCCTTGATGTAGAATATTGCTTTGGGATTTTGCATGATTACACATAAATTTGGGGAAGTATTCATTTTTAAGTGGGAATTCTTGAAAAAGTTCTAAAGATTTTAAGCTAAAACAAAACTAGTGATGAAATTATCCTGCTCAAACATCAGCCCTAAATCAGCCCTAGTTAACCAGAAGCAGAGGGTGGAAGAGCATATTATAACTCCAGGGGGTGCCACCTGCCCAGTCCAGACTGGGAAACCAGAGGAAACATGGCAGGGACTAAGCAAAGCAAAGCAATACAAGGCAGAAGATGTCAGAGATGTACCAACCTGTTAGAGACAGATTCAAATTAATACGACAGTTACTTGTGAGGCAGGAAATCCAGACATTGGGTAGGTAATGAAATCAAAGCCATTGCTGATATTTTTTTTAAAAATATAAATAGAGACTTACAAAGAGGACCTGCAACATACTTTGTGTACTCAGGCTAAAAGTGGGGTTGTCAGCTTGAATGCTTGTTTTTGGCACTTTGGGGAGAGGGTTGAGGAAGAGTGAATTTATTACAGGTTCCAACCTGAAACCTGGAGTCCCAGGCTGGCCAGCTGCTTCTTCACACAGCTACTGTGTTTTGGTTTTGGTTTCGTTTGGTTTTGTATTTTAAGAAAGGTTTCCCTATGTAGCTCAGGTTGTCCTGGAAATAACTATGTAGCTCAGGCTGACACCAAATTAGTGCTCCTCCTACGTCAAAGCCCTGAATTCTGAGAGTATAGGCATGAGCCACCACATCCAGCCGAAAGGCTGCTTTATGGATATATCATAGCCACAGGAGGACATGATGGGATGGGGTCAGGGGTGGCCAGGGACTTAATCCACTCATCTGCATTACAGCCAGTAGTCCTAAAGACCGAGCACTCTACACGCTCCTCTGTGTGTTTCACACTGCAGAGTGGTCATTCTTCAAATAGTATCTGTACCCCGAACAGCAAGCACACATGAAGGTAAGAGTGTGGGGGGCCATGTTAGCCGCCACACAGTTTCTTGTGTGTGTTCAGTTGTTGCACTAGTTGAGGTAGAACTAAGGCTACAACAAAGAGATCTGAATTAATATGACTTAAAGGAAATGGAAGCTATTTCTTTCCTGCATTAGTGTGTATATGGATAGAGACAGTCCAGGGCTGGGGATTTTTCTGTTCAACTCTGGGCTGCAGTGTGTGAACCCCTTGTTGACCTCTCCCAGCCGGCAGGAATGCGGGAGGAAAAAGTGAAGGGCAGAACATGGATGTGACCAGAGATGTGCATACGTCATTTCTGCTCCCCTCCCATTGGCCAGAGTGTATCGGGGCAAGTGGGAATCACGTTCAGTAGTTGAAGAGTAAAGAGAGAAAAAAAAGTCAGTTTTGGTTGCCAGCCTTCACAGTCATTTCCCCCCCCCTCTCTCTCAGAAAGCATCACTGTGCAAACAATGATTAACATCTTACGAGACAAAGCCAGCGGGGTCTGCATAGACTCCGAGTCTTTCCTCACTACTGCCAGTATTGTGTCTGTCCTGCCTCAGAACAGAAGCTCACCGTGCATCCATTACTTCACCGGGACCCCGGATCCTTCCAGGTTAGTCTAAAACACATCAGATGGGCAGAAGGTGTGAGCTCCTGGCCATGCCCTTCCCTTGGATATTCTTCTCAGTTCTCAGCATGGGCATGTAGCACAGGAGCTGTGATTGGGTGGGGTGCAGCCACAGTGTTCATTCTAGTCATGGAACCCAGTTATTGTTGAGTATAGATCATGGGCCAAGCATTGTATTACAGACGAAGATGCATACAACACAGTAAGGTCCACATACAGGGATGCCCAAGGTTTACAAAGAGAACCAGTCCTTGTGAGATACTGGACAGAATGGTTCAGGGGTGGTTCATAGGGAATTACCTGCCTTTTTTTGTTTTGTTTTGTTTTGTTTTGACATGTTTTGGAGAGCTGCTTTCTGCCCATTTACTTCAGCAGAGAGGCAGTACTGCAAGTGCTGAGGGCACATCCTCAAGGAGGAACAGCCAGGATTTTGGGTCCCCTCTTTGCCACTTGGCTGTTGCATAAGTACTTTGCCTCAGTAACCTGCAGCTTTTGTAATGGGATAGTCCTAACCTATTTGTATTGCTGAGAAGACTAAACAAGACAAACTGATCATTCCTAGTAGGTTGAGCAATTATTTATAAAGACAGTAGCCCTTCTCCCTGGCAGCTTTCAGTGTGCAGTCTCAGGTCATGTTGCCAATAGCTTAGAACCAGTCAACCAGAGGCTTCTAAACCTGGGGTACATGAGGACAGTCTGAAACATACAGATGCCTTGACCCAAACCCACCTCACCAGAATGTGAGCAGTGGACCCCAGAACCTGTCAGATAGCTGATCCTCAGCAGGAAAACTTGCCTGAGACGCTGGTGTTTTCGGGTGTCATGTGGGTGGCCACTCTGAGCATTGTTTGGATGTCAGTTGTGAAGCTACTGAAGAAGACACTGCTGCTACATTTCAGTCCTTTTGTAACTGAAGTATTTTCTCCTGCTGTGTCAGGCATGTGAGATAATGCCTGGTCTTCCTCCTTTCTTAGAGACGGTTTCGGATGACACGAACACCTCTTGACCATGTAGCTTTATTTGTATCAACACCAAAAGATACTTCTAACAATACACAGTATAAGTAGTTCTTTCGTTACACTTGTCAATTGCTTGCTACATACCAAAGATTGTACTTTAGAGTAGTTAGTGATGGAGTGTGTACAGGAAAGAGGTAGCAAGGATGAGTTGAGGAAGGGCAGAAACTCACAGAGGAAGGAAATTTAAGCCCTAGACAAGGTGGGATTCAGTAGGCGCAAGAAGCGGAATAACATTAGGAATAGGCATGGCCTCCCTTCCCCTCCCCTCCCCTCCCCTCCCCTCCCCTCCCCTCCCCTCCCCTCCCCTCCCCTCCCCTCCCCTCCCCTCCCCTCCCCTCCCCTCCCCTCCCCTCCCCTCCCCTCTCCTTTTCTTCCTTCTCCTTCCTTCTTTCCTTCTGCTCCCCTCCCCTCCCCTTTTCTCCCCTTCACTTCTCCCCTCTTCATTTCCCCTCCCCTCCTGTCCCTGCCCCCTCCCCTCTCTCCCCTCTTCTCTCCTTTTCTAACCCCCTTCCCTTTTCTCTCCATCACCTCCCATATCTAGCCTAACGGGTCTGCACCATCAGACCCGGCTGGGTGTGTACCTTCTTGTATACCAGGCTGGTGATTACGTCAGTGCCTTCCCTACCTTCTGCTCACCAAGCTCAGCCATCCTCATGGTTCTGCTGCTCGACCTTCCCCGTGTCATCCACTCTGCACTATCCCTGCCATGCTCTCTGGATCATCCCCCACCCCTGACTCCATCTGCTCAGTCTTGATCTTATCCCCACCTTCCTCCACCTTTTGGCCTAGCAGATCCTGTTTTCACATCTTTGTGTCCAGGCTGCTCCTAATAGGCTAAGACTTGTCTCCCAAGGACTCTGTGGACCTATGGAGCTCTACAGGGCCAGTGAGAATTTTGTTTATGATTCTGGAGTGTTCTGCCAAGGTGTTCAAGGCGTACTCCTCTTTAGGAAGCAGGAGTCTTTCAAGGTGTGGGTCTTGCTAGACCACATCCCAGTGCCTAGCTATGTGGAGGACCCGCTCCACCTTTGCATAGGATATAAGACTTTTCATCTCCAGAACACTCGGAGAAAGGAAATCTATTGCCCAGGCTGAAGCAGACTGCTTAATCCAATTATAGAAATGGGTTGTGAAATCGCCTTCTGCTACTAAACGGAAACTTTAAAGTAGTTTTAAAAGAAAATTATTCACGGTTAAATTAATTGGAAAGACCTTGTAGAAGATTACAGCCCTTTGAGAAGACAGTTTAGCATTGTTTTCCGTGGTGAAACATGCCGTGTCACCCACTGTGAGTCCTCAGGACTGCAGTTAGTTCTCATCCTGTTTGGCGTCTCAGTGCTTCTCAGTACTTGGGCATGCTGAACACTTAGTCTTTTGTCATCAGTTACTGTAATCAAGGCGCTTTCAACTGACTTCTGCCAGTATTAACATGTAGAGATGTTTCGAGAAAATGAATTGCTCCTCCCAGTTGATATCAGGACCAGTGGAAAGGCTCTGCCTGGGTTCTTCTCTGTCATGTCCACGCATTCATCCGCAGTTCTTAGCTGGCTTTCACAAACGACTTTTCCCTTCATCCCTGAATTTTCTATGCCTCCTCCTCTCATGTGCCAGGCACTGTGTAAATTTGAGAGTGAAAGAAGCAGCAGAGCCAGCACTTGAGTGCTTGAGGGAGAGGCAATGGCTCGGCCCGTTAATCAAGTTTATCGAGAAGACAGATTCTACCATGTTGCTCAGCAGGCTCTTTACTTACTGACAGTGTGATGCTGGCTGGCTTTGGGGAACCAGCTCTGACTCGGAGGAGCCATTTGCTGAGAAATCAGTACTTGATGCTCCACTGATGTGACCGGTTGGGAGGGAAAGAACATTTAGAGAGGTACCTAGGCTCTTTAAGACTGTCAAGTGTAGACTTCGGAGGTATGTGGCAGCCTCAGAGAGTACTTGTGCTCATCAATGACAGCCCACGCACTGTGACGGCTTTGGTGGCTCTAAATGGGCCACAGAGAGAGTATTTATACATCTGAAGCCGGCAAACACCATAAATCTGAGTTTATTTTTGAGAGGTGTAGTTGTTAGACTGGAACAGCACTGAGAGGCCATGGATGTAGGCAAAGCCCACACAGACTCAAGGATGGGGAAACCAAAGGGGAGAAGATGCAGTCACCTCAACAGGAGAGATGATGCTGAGAGACAAAAGGAATAGCACCCCCAAGGATTGGCCCAAATTGTACCCTTGGGGTAACTGTTAGCCTTAGGTGGTACCTATTTGTTCCTAGAGGAAGTACAAAAGGCCTTTGGGTCCACAGGGCACAACTGGCACTATGTGGAGTGGAGGGCCCTGGACCAAATGGCACCCACATCCTGTTCAATTTCATTCAGAATTCCTCGTATGCCATCGCTCTCCTCTTGCCCTATTTTACTTCTGACCTTCCAAAATGCCTCCAAGCTCTGGCTCTAGCCCACTGTCTACAGGGCTGTCCTGTGCTCCCCAAGTTCAGCTCTCCTTCACAGTGCTCCTATGCAATGTTCCTTTCCAGTGCTCCTGGACAATGTCCCCAGTGCTCCCACACAATGACCCTTCCCAGTGCTCCCACACAATGACCCTTCCCAGTGCTCCTGTACAATGCAAGCTCTTTTATGGAGTGGTTCTGATCTCAGCAGACAGTAGGATTAGAGTGACATTGTCATATGCCCACAGATGAACCATTTAGAAAGATAACTGCCTTTAGAAAGAAACTGGTCATTCTAGGCAGGTTTTCCCCACACTGGGGTTAGGGTTGAATAGATTCATTTGAGCTAGGGCCTGTGCATTGTTCCTTTCTGTATCTCCTGTCCCTCAGGGACTTCGGTCACAAGATGAGCCCAGCATAGCCACTTGGGGAGTGTCTTTTTCTTCAGCAGGAACAAAGATGTGTCTGAGGTCAGACTGTTCAATGGCCAGAGCTATTGTTTTTTGTAGTAGTGCCTGTGTATAAAGCCAAATGGAGGATTAAGAGTGAGAAGTGGTGGGGAAAGCTTCCTTTATGTATAGAAGATCTGAATTTAACCACTTATTTGGAATGCAGTTTTGAACAAAGCACTGAACTCTGTGAGCCTCAATCATCTCACGTGTAAAATGGGGCCATTCCCTCCTTTCTGGAGCAGTGTGTCCTGGTCTGGTGTCTGGGAGGTACAGCCATGACTCAGAGAGGCAGTTTCAACTTTGACACCACCTCGTTAGTTGTGTGACCTTGCTCAAGCCATTTCTTCTTTGTGAGTATCAACATTCAAGTGCATTGAAGAAGTAGCCATCTGGTTCAAGTGTGGAAAGATGCCTGGGTGTGCCCTTATCTATTTAGAATCATAAATGTTCTTTGCATTAAAGATTGGCAAAACCCTAGAATGTTTGCAAGGTGCTGAGTGCACCTTTGTGGAATTTTCTTTGTGGAATGTGGCCCAGAGGTATAGATTACCAAACATGAATGACAGATATTTCTTCAGTCAATTATTAGCATTTTATCATAACTTTAATTATATAGTTTTGTTATTTATGTAATTTATCCATATTCAAGTTTACCATCAACCATAAATTCATGCCTCCTATTTTTAGCAGTTGAGGATGCTGACTTTTTTGGGGGGGAGGTTTCAAGACAGGGTTTCTCTGTGTAGCTTTGGAGCCTATCCTGGCACTCGCTCTGGAGACCAGGCTGGCCTCGAACTCACAGAGATCTGCCTGCCGCTGCCTCCTGGGTGCTGGGATTAAAGGCGTGCGCCACCAACGCCTGGCTCGCTGACTTTTTTTTTTTACAAACTCAAAAAGATATCTGGGGAAGATTTAGCAGTTCCAAATATTATGGGTACCTGCTCATATTTAGTGTTTAGTTTTCAAATAGAAAGCATAATTGAGGAGGCTAAACATATGGTACCCTTTGCCTTAGAAAAGCTACCTGGCACTTGGCATCATCGTTAAGTAAATTAACTTGACATTCAGCAGGTGGCGAGGGAGACTGACATTATACCGAGTTCCAACGTTTCACTCCAGTTTTTTCCTATATATTGGATGCAGATAAACTGTGGGTGCTATGAATTTACTGAAGTTGGAATGACAAGTTTGCATGCCTCACAGGAATGGGCATGGAAAAGCACAGAGCCAGCAGAGCAGTTTTAGGCACTGGAAGAAACCATAGCCACGACTTCAGTCTACTTGAGAAGCATAGAAAAACTACTGGCCTTATATCTGGCCAGATGCAGAGCTGCTACTCACTCCCATACCCAGCCTCTGTCCAGCTGTCTGTCCCTCCTGTTCTCACTCAGTTTAGAGCTGTTGGGCTGCCATGCCTGGTCCTTGGCAGGGCTCTCCCCTGAGATCAGCATGCCAGAGAACAGTAAGCAGGGCAGGGATCTCTGGAAGAGATCTCTCCTCCCCCTTGGAGTTTGGGTGGTGGAGGGCCGAGGCCGATGGACTGAGGAGACAGCATGCCACAGATGGATATCCCATGCCCTGGGGCCAGTGAGAATGGGAGAACTCATTCCAAAGAGCCTCCACTCAGTTCCGCCGCAGTTCTGTCTGTCACTGGCTCCATTTGGTGCAGCCCTGAGCTGAGTGTTTGGACTGTGTGGGCAGAAGGGTCCCTGTGCCAGCCAGGGGCTGCTGAAGCACATACACTGAGTGCAGCCATCTGAGAGCGGTGTGCCCTACGGGATAAGGTAGGTGCTCACTGCTGTGACAACTGTGTGGTCAGAGACTAGAACACGATGGCAGCAGTCTGGATGCCTGTGGGCCAGGCACACACTTCTTTCTTCCCCTCCCACTCTTCTCCCTGTGAGGTGACACAATTGGTTCAGGCAGTTCGAAGCTTTGCACTAACTCCCCCTTTACACCCAGCAGTCAGGAGAAGAGAGAGCAAAGGTCTATTTCCAAGAGGCTGCAGGAAGTGGAAGTGTATTCCGCTGTCTGTGGGTAGCATCCCTCTATTCTGGGACTTCCTGTAGTAACGGCTGAGTCGCGGGCCCTGGGACAGCCTAGCCTGGCATGTGTTGTGCTGTCTCGAAGATTTGGCTGAGGAATGGGTCAGGCTTTTTTTTTACATTTTTGTTAGTTCTTTGAGAATTTGTTTGCCCCCTCCATTTAAAAATATTATTTTAAAATGTGAGTGTGTGTTTTCCTTGCATGAATCTCTAAACACCGTATGCATATGCAGTGCCTGCAGAGGCCACAAGAGGGCATCGGATCCCTGGAACCAGACTTCCAGAAGGCTGTGAACTGCTTGTGGGCTCTGGGAATTAAACCCAGGTCCTGGGCAAGCGCTTTGGTGATCTTAACTCCTGAGCCACCTCTCCAGCCCACCTGTGCCCTCATTTTTTCATTAATTCTTGGAGAATTTCATGTGGTCTCATATTTGATAAATACGAGCATTACCTGAAAGGAGAGGAGAGTCCAAGATAATCTGTCCTTAACGTGCACTATTCACTCTCCCAGCTTGGGTACAGAGGTCTAACTGCCATTGGCATTCAGGTTAAAAGAACATGGGCCTTACTTTTTTTGCACATCCTGATAAGTGTCTCTCCCTCTTGAGCTTTTTTTTTTTTTTTTTTTTTTTTTTTTTTTTTTTTTTTTTTTTCATTACTGCCTGGGAAAAGAAATCTAGAGGTCACTTATCAGCATATTGCCCATGGCAGCATCCCTGGGTTTTAGATATTATGAATCCCCTCAGGCCTTGCTAGATGCAGATTCTGACTCAGCAGGGCAGGGCTGGAAGGCCAGGCCTCAGAGGGATGTTGATTCTGTAAGTCTAGGGACATATCTAGGACAGCAAGGGACTGGTTCGTGTCCTTTTCAGGTCATAGTGTCCCTGACAATAGCAAGGGAGCTCTGGCTGCTTCAAGTCTCACATATATATGCCAGGGCTAGAAAGTCAACATCCCAGCTCCTCTTCATGGCTCCATTGAGAGGAGAAGACAAAGTGTAAACCACACAAATCCATCACAGCCCACAGAGTGTGAAAGGCTCATTTGCTCATTTTCTCCTGTTGTCATTGCAAGTGGCCCCCAGGGTGTCTGTCAGAATTACACCTCTGTCCCAGCAGGGTTTTCTTTGGATGTGGAGAGGGGAGGGGGTGAAGAACAAGGCGTTTTTCCAGCTGTTAGTCAGCTGTGGGTGTCTCTCATCCTGTATGTCTCTTTACGTGTGTGTGTGTGTGTGTGTGTGTGTGTGTGTGTGTGTGTGTGACCTGTTCCCAGGTCTGCACAAGTATATGTGTGCATGTACCTGGACTCAGCCATGTATTCTAAGATACACTCATCCTGCCAGGAGAATAGGAGTCAAATGGAGCAGGAGGCATCAGCCACCTTCTCTGCTCAGCCTCGCTCTCAGACAACCCGCCTTTGGGGTCACTTCCCCTTCCAGGCCTCTTGGCTTAGCCGATATCACCTTAATCTGACCTCCTCTAGTCTGTGAGATACTTCAAAGATTTTTCAAGAAAGTAGACCCTTAAGATCAAAACCGAAAACCACCGCCTTCCCAGGAGAGAAAAGGGCAGCCCTCTGTTCCATTCAAAAAATGGCTTATTCTGCCCTGTCCTGGAGCACTGTGTCCACTTGCTGTTCTTTTCCAATGAAAACGGTCTTTCCAATCACCTTCCTAGGGCAGCAAAAGCCTGGACATCAGCCTTTGTAAATGGTCGTTAGTTGTATGGAAATAACGACTGAAACATAGCGCTGTGTGGCTCTTGGCCTGCCCCTGTCTGCCTCAGTTGGCTCATGACTGGATACTCCAGGGACCACACTCAGTCTGGCTGAAGCAGCTCTCCTTTCTCCCCAGGTCCATATTCAAGCCATTCATCTTTGTTGATGATGTAAAACTTGTCCCTAAAGCACAGTCACCCTGTTTTGGTGACGATGACCCAGCCAAAAAGGAACCCCGGTTCCAGGAGAAGCCAGACCGCCGGCATGAGCTGTACAAGGCTCATGAGTGGGCACGTGCTGTCATCGAGAGTGACCAGGTGAGCCCAGAGGAGGTCCAGGGGCGATGGTGGAGGTTAACGGGAAAGGAGGCAGGGAGGTAGCTTGCACACACATCTCTCTCCTCTCCCTCTCCTTTCTAGCCCAACAGGTCTCTCTCAGAAAGAGAAGGCAGGTGTTAACTTTCCTACCAACTCTCCTGATACCAGAGAAAAGGAAGCCTCTGCTTTTGTTATTACTATGAATCTAGCAGGCAGAGCATCCCTTCCTCATCTGCTGTTAACCTCAGAGTAGCTTGTCACAGGCTCAGGCCAGCACCATTCCACATCTGCTGGGGTCCTTAGTGGTCAAACACTTGACTTAGTGTCTCTAATATGCTCAGGTCTCCACTGCAGCTGGGGTTGCATCTTCACCAACCCTTGGGTCCTGCAGCTTTCATGCTGCCCAAGCCAGTATCACGTGGGAGACCGTTAGATATTATCAAGTTTGGCTGCCAGCTTCAAATGCAGCCTTGGCCCTCTGGAAACCACCATCATAGAAAAAAAATGACATAGGGATATACACGGCATGTTTATTAATTGAGTGGTTTATTCCTTCAATAGACAATCTTTTTTGAGAACACCTACTATACTTCAGTCATTGGAAGGCAGATACAAGCCTAGCTCTTCCTCTTCAGGAAGTCAGGGTATGGTGGGAGACATAGCCATGCAGGCTAGTCATCACCACACAGATGATGGTGGTCATGCAGGGAGAAGGTATTGAATTCTGGAGGAAGGGCTCAGACTCATCTGGTGTTGAGGGAGGGAAGGGGCTCCAGAGTACAGCGTCATGAGCAATGGGGAGAGATTACCATGGGGTATAGCAATACATATGGCTGAAGGGGATGGATACAGAATGCAAGAGGCCAGAGTGCCCCAACTACACTCAGTAGTCAGGACTGTAAATGTGGGTGGATGTGGTAGGAACAGATGGCATCAGTACTGGTTTGGGTACAGAGGACGGAGTAGATAGATGGTCCTATAGTCAGGAAGCCATGTGAACCCTGGGCTGTCAGTGTCCACTGCCATGACGCATGCCATCCTGCATGGCTGTGTTCTTCCTCAGGAGCAAGGCCGCACACTGAGGAAGACCATGCTGGAGTTGGAGAAGCAAGGCTTGGAAGCCATGGAAGAGATCCTAAGCAGCCCCGAGCCCCCGGACCCTGCCGAGGTGGGGGACCTTTTCTACGATTGTGTGGACACCGAGATGAAGTTCTTTAAGTGATGTAAGCACCCTCACCCTTACTTAAAACTTCCCACCCAACTAAATTACCAGCAGAGAAACACTCTACTGTTTGAGTAAAATGAGATTTACCATGTGGCCGCCTTGTGTCTAAATGTCCCCTCTGTTCAGCTTAGCAACCCCCTCTGCTATGTAATGTGACTCCACATGCCTCTTGCTCCATTGTGTGATAATCTGTGGGCCTGAAGATGTTCTTGTATTTCAGTGACAATGGGCACCTTAGGAGAATTAGAGTTCCCTCAGCCTTGGACAGGGCTGCAGGGCCAGGCTGGTGGGAAAGACAAGAGTTGTGAAGGTCCTGGTCCCTCTCTAGATAGTGGTTTCTTCGAGGTTAACAAAAGGCTTTTGTTCATCCTGAAGGCTCTAGTGTGTGTAGATGGGGGAGAAACCCCCAGCTTTCTTCCACAAAGCGCAGGCTTATGTGTGGCTCACAGTCCCCACAGGTGTGTCTTGGGAAACAAAGCTAATGGGAAGGAACAGAGCATCCCTGGGGACAGTCCCAGATCTGCCCCAGTGTTTGTGACTCTGAAAGACCTGTCTTCTGTAAGCCATGCCATGTGTAGCAGACCAGACCTGCTTTCACGTGCAGGAGAGCTGGGCATCCATGTTAGCTGGACCTCCCCATCCAGCACGACACCCACCCGAGGACGTGATCCTGTGTAGAAATGACTTGCGATTGGATTGTCAGCAACATGCTTAAGATTCATGAAATGGCCTTGGCAGAGTTCACAACTGCAAATCTCAGCCAATGAGGGAAAGAAAAGGGACTCTTGACTGTTGAAAACACCTGGGATCCAGGCAGCACTGTCTTAGCAGAGGCTGGAATTCAACTCACTTGTCTCCAGCACAGTGGTTGCAAGGACTCAACTCCTCTGGAGGGTGTGAGGAAGACAGGGCCAGCTGAGGACAGATGGCTGTGCCCACTGCCTGGTTAACTAGATCCCCACAAGTCAGTGTGCTGAGCACCTGACCTCCAGCGTCCCCCCACTTAGTTCTCATGCCCCACTGCCCAGCAGCTGCCTTTGGACTTTGAGAAAGAGAGGATGTGGGTGCTTATCCACTGCCACTCCCCATGGCTCCTGAAGGGGTCAGAGGGGTAGAGATGACTGGCAGAAGTGTAGATTAGAGGAACAGCTAGTGGGGTGTGCTGCGGGGCACACTTATATGTTAACATTTTTGACAGGGCGGAACAAACCGGAACTGTCCAGCAGTGATCTCAGGCATGGCTTTGGGTCCCCAGATCCTTCCTAGTAGTACCATGGGCTGTGAGAGCTGGCAGGGACCTGAGCCCTCACTTTACAATGTGATGCGGGCACAAAACATGTGATATGTTTTATTGGGACAAATCTTGCTTCTCTTTGAGCCTTCCTTTAAGAGGGTGTGTGTGCTGTGATCCCCCTTCTCAAGAGACTGTCTCATGAGTTCCATGTATAAATAAATTGTGAAACGTGAGAGATGGGACAAGTTCATGGCAACCAAATGGTGGCTTGCAGTTGCTAGGAGCTTTGGGCAGGCGGACTGCAGCATCTCATGTGGATAAACAGGGCTAAGCTGAAAGTTCCTGCAGGTGCAAAGGGAAGAAGGGCGATGTTCGAGGAGAAATGGCTGCCTGTCCAACCCCACCTGACGAGTTATTTAAGTAAGGTGATGCAGAAAGCCATCCTGTGATTTCCCTGTGTGGTCTCACCTCTAAATGTGAGGCCAGCTCATCAGATCTGATGTGTCTGAGACAGCTAAGGCCCTTCAGGGTTTGATCAGAAGTCTAGTCAAAGTAAATGTCACAACAGCCTTCTTTCATTATTTTGGCCAAGGTTGTTGGTGCCATTATTCAGGTGGGCACTGGGAAACACAGTGGCTACTTCTATTTTTGGATATTGACCTTAGTCCTGCATCACAGAGAAAGGCCAAGCCTCTTGCTTGGAGCATTGTACATCTCAGCCATGTTGTCCTCTTACCACTAGAGGGCACCAGAGTTAAGGGGTCTGTTTTTTCCCTTCTGTCAATGGTTAAGAACTGGGGATAGAAGCTTTTTTCACTGGAATGGGTGGGAACAGACACAAGGACAATAAGGAATCTGGCAAGGTGCCTGCATGTACTTTAGTGACTTTATCTAAATTAACAGCAGAAATGATGCTGGATTTTGCGTAGGCAGATGTACAAGAATATTTGTTTTAAAATGCCCCTAATGGATTTCTCTTTGAAGAAATGCTTCTTTCATGGGTAATTTCTTAATCAGGGGGTTGGTTTTCTGAACAGCACGGAGAAAGTGGATATTCAGGATGAAATAATATGGAATGTTTAAGATCACTCTGTAAATAACTTCCCAGAAGACCACCATATATCTGTTAAGCCTCGAGGGTGGAGATCCTGAGCACACTTTGTGCAGAAATAAGTCATGACCATTAAGGACAGACCACCTGCCATAGAATCTAACGTAAGCTAGCTAGTCTTGTGTGGATGAGATTTCCACTAGGTGAAAACAGCATCACAGCTGGGGGCAGACACTTGCATGGGAAATAGTTTTGTTTTTTTGTTTCTTGTCATTCTTGGGTGTGCCTGGAAGCTGTGGCAGAATAAGGGCCTGATAAAAGCTGTGGAGACTTAGCCCAACACAAGATGGGTGTTTGTAGGCATCCGCCTCACAAGCCGCTGAAGCGGGTATCTACCTGCTAGAGCTCAGTGGTGACACCCTGTTACAGTCAGGTGAATCGGCAGCTATAAAAGTAATTGTCGACCACAAAAGCTAATGTCATCCCACCTTGCTAAAGGTGACACCACTGCTGGCAGGCCCACAGGGCAGCCAGGGATTCGCGTCTGGAAGTCAGCGGCTGCATTCTTTTATTACAAAGGTCTTCAGCAGAGAGCTTTGCTTTGGGAGAAAACTCGAGGAAGCTAGGAGATGGAGCTTGGAGGGAGAGCAGTGGCCAGGGGCAGGGCAAGCATCCCAGCTCTTCTGTGCCTCCCTTAGCTGTGGGGCTTCATTCCACATGGCTCTGTGTCCCGGCTTCTGTTCTGTGATGTGTGTCAAATGTGTTTTTATCTGACTGAAGCCAACCATCCTGAAATATCACACACAGAATTCTTGCAGGAATCAATAAGTACAGGTCTTAAATCATGTGAGAACTGAAATGCCATAGAACCTTTGTTTCCTGTTGGGGGGAACTGACTGTGTGGTCTTAACAGCCTTTTGTATAAATATCTACAAGTCAAACAATGTCCCTATCCAGTGCTTGCCCTCAGAAGTGTCTTTAAATGCACCAAGTGTACAATAAAAATATCAAAGTCACCGTCCAGGAGCCTCTTCTTGTTTGTGTTTCACGAACACAGTCGGCACCAGTCACAAGACAAATGTGTGAAAGAACTGTACTTTTCTGACTTGAACCCTTAGAAAACCCGGTCACGTCATCAGGGCCTTACACGATGTGCCACTATTTAAAAGTAAACCCCAAACTGTAACCATATACCTGTCGGCTCTGTCAGAACAGCAGCAGCAGCAGCAAAAATTGACTACTCTGCAGACCCAAAGCAGCAGAATCTCCACACAGGGTAACGGCAGGATAACCAAGAGGAGTTCCAGTGAGAGCCCAGCATCAATAGTGTAGTAGAAACCAGAGACCTCGAGCCAGACCAGTGTCTCCCTGCAATGAACACTTGGCAGTAAAGATTATGGACAAACGGATTTACTGGGTGAGTCACTATGTCTCACTGAGCTTCCATGATGAGATTTCCCTCCTCCTTTTCTTGAATTTTATTTGGGGGTATGTGCAAGGACAGAGGGCAGATATGCAGGGACAGGGAATGAATGGAATCACAACGAATGATGTGAAAGACACAAAGAATAAATTAAAAAAAATTTTTAAAAAGAATCAACTACTATGTGGGGAGCTGGAGACATGCGTGGCTGGCAGAAATGAAAATGGTTGCCCGCTGTGGAATATGGAGATTTGTCAGCAAATTCCATCTGACCCAGCAATCCTACTTTCTAGTGTGCACCAAAGGAATTGAAAGCAAGGCTGGAAAAGGTGCCTGTTTGGCCACCTTCCTAGCCTATTAAATTAGCTATGGGTGATGGATGGATGGTTACATAATGTGGTATATCTGTGCAATGGAGTACTATTCAGCCTCAAAAGAAGAAGGCAGTTCTGATACATGCCACAGTGTGTATGGACATTCTGCACATTATGTTGGGCAAAATGAATTGGTCACAAGAAGACATAGATAACTCTGCTTACATGAAACACCTAGAGGGGACAAATACACAGACTGCTTGCTCTCCGGAGTGTGGGGTGTACCCTTACTTAGCTCTGGGACCCAAGTGTTCAGGGCTTGATAGTGTGTCTTCATCACTGTATGTCCACACACACATTTACACCCCTATTTGGAGGATGGGGAAACTGAGGCACACCTAAGTAGTTTAATCGCCCCAAACTCAAGAGACTCGTATCCATGTTGGCCTTTCAACTCTAGTCCCTGCCACTTCCCCAGCAGAGAAACTTCAGCTCCCCTGTTCCAGGCTAGAGCCACAGCCGTAGAGGGGAGAGGACTCTGCTCGTCAGAAGAGTCCCTTGAAGGGCTGGCTGAGTTGCAGGGGAGAGAGAGAGACCAAGTCTTTAGGCTGAAATTTTCCTTAGTGTTGATGCATAAGGTCCTGTATTAGATCCCCAGTAAGGCAAACCTTTCCCATTTTAACACAGTGGCAGAATTTATAAAGCAACATACTTGGCCCATACTGTAGTAATAAAACTGGTAAGTATGCTGTTATCTATTTGTAAAATGCATATGTTTAAATCCCCCCCCACACACACATGGGGGGGCTAGAGGGATGGCTCAGTGGTTAAGTGATAATTGCTTAATGCTTTGGGGGAAAGTTTGACATCATCAGCTAAGATGGGAGACTTGGATATAGACCTGGAGAGAAAGGAAGGCTGTGTCAGCCAGACCCAGCCCAGTGCCACGGGTACCTAGTGATAAACCAATGGAGGCAGGCAAGAGCAGACCAAGACACACGGCCACATCTTTTAGTCACTATTTCAGTAGTAAAACTAACAGCCATTTACAAAGGTTGATGTTGAAGCAGACTTTTGAGGTTCTGGGAAGGTGACTGGGAAGGGTCCTTGTTGGTGGTGAAGACAGGCAGTAGACCCAGTGCTCTGGGGCAGGGCAGAATAGACCCGAGGACTCAAATTCAATTCCCAACATTCCCACAACTACCTGCCACTCTAGTTCCAGAGGATCTGACACCTCTTCTAGCACCCATGGGTCCCTATACACCTGGCATACACACCTAGACACATACACATAAATAAAAATAAGTATATTTTCAAAGGCACTATTCCTGGTGTTCCAGAAATCACCGGCCTTGTTTAAGCCCTACTTATCCTTAAAATCATGTCTTGATACCCAGGTCTGACTGCTACACATTCTGCACCACAGTATCATATATTCCAGAAACATGTGTAATCATCACATGTCAATCAAAGAAAGAGACTTGGATCAGTACTGGTGATGGATCACAGATGGGCTCTGCAGAGAAACAACCACAGGCATTGCCACTTATTAAAGTTTATTGGGTACAAAGGAATGAGTCTGCAGCAGGAGACACCGATAAATATAAAATCCAGGTGAGACACTGGGAGGTCACAGTCTGCAATGTGAGGGTAGGCAAGGGTGGTAGAGACGCCTCCACATGTGAGTTCATGGTCAAGGGCCCAACCTGTACACTGCTTGTGGGAACGGGACATACCACCCACTTGAACTTGGAGGGTTGAAGCTTCAGTGATAAGTCTGGAGGAGAGCTGCTAGGCCAGAGTCCTGAGATTGCTCCCTGCTTGCTGTTTTTGGTTTCTGCTTATTCTTTCCCTTTGTCTTTAAATAGTTTAAAAATTAAAAATTATTTGTGTTATATGTACCTATGTGTGCATGCGTGCGTCTGTGTGTGTGTGAATAAAGGCACATCTGTGCACATGTATTTGGAGGTCAAAGGCCAACAACTGGTATCTTTTCCAATCTCTCTCTCTCTCTCTCTCTACCTTATTAGTGTTCCTTACTAAACTTGCAGCTCAGTAATTTGGTGAGGTTGGCTAGCTACTGACCTTCCTGGGGTCAGCTGTCTTGACTTAACTCCCAGGACCTGGGTTACAGACATGCACCCCATGCCTGGCTTTTATGTAGGGCCTGGGGATATGAACACAGGTCCTCATACTTGGCCAGCAGGCAGTCTACTGCCCGAGACATCTCCCCAGCCACTCTTGAATGGTTTTAATTTTTGTCCCAGCAGTGTAGAACATGAGCGTGTGAACAACTCACTGGGCAAGCAGTCTACTTCAGAGCTGGGGCTGCCTTGCTGATGGCTCTCTTGTGATTACTAAAGTTTCTTAGGATTATTATTTGGCAAGGCTGGGAGGAGCAGGGGGTGGAGCCTGACCTTTCTGCAAACTTCCAGAATCAGTACAACAAATCAGCAGGGTGGAAGCTTTATGCCCCTTGATGTGGTTATAGCAGCTTGAGTCACGCTCCGGAGATGGGAACTTGACCCTGGCTCAGTTTCTACTATCTCTAATGAGAAAACACAACACCAATGTAGGACATTTGCTCCAAAACACAGTCAGGTGTCTTCAGACACATGGCTGAACACTCTTCCTGTCCATCGTCTCTGGATGGCCTGACCTGGGCTAATGTTCTTGTCAGTGTGATTGCCTGAGTGGGATGCTCCATTGCACACCATTGCTTGCCTTCCTCTTTTGTCCACAGCCACTCTGAGCACAGTGCAGGAATCCCATTTCCTTCTATTTCCTCCTTCTCTGCTACAGACTCCCCATTTGGACTGGAGCATTTGGGGCCTGACAAATGCAAAAGCATACTTCCCTCCCTTCAGGCTCAAAGAAGGGTGCAGAGAACAGCCCCAGCCTGGCTTGGCCCTCTCTGTGTATATCTGCCAGCCACCCCAGCTACACACCACAAGGCAAGAAGAGAGCCATCAGACATCGTGCTTTTCAGCTCAGAGGGAAACTCCTTTGGGCAGACAGGTGTTCTGGGATTCCTACCAAAGGAATGCTTTGCTCTTTTGTATGTGTTTGTATATGAGTGCGTATGTTCCTGTGTGGAGTGTGCATGTACATGTATGTGTGAGCCTGGAGAGACCAGAAGTCAATTTTGGGTGTTGTGGCCTCAGGAGATACCACCTTGTATTTTGTAACAATGTCGCTCTCTGGGACCTGGGGCTCCCTGATTAGCCTGGCTGGCCAGTGAGTCCCAGGCTGCTGGTTGCCTCTGCTTCCCCAGCAATGGGATAACAAGTGTGTACTGCCACAATCCAGCTTTATGTGGGCACTGGCAACTGAACTCAGGTCCTTAGGCTTGTGAGGCAAGCATCTTATTAACGGAGCTGTTGCCCCAGGCTTATTTTGTTCTTCTTTTAACGTATGTTGTATTTTCCATGTAAATCCTACTCTCAGGGTGAGGCTTGGGGAGGGAGAGCTCTGAGGTAAAAATAAGCTTATCATAATCATGAGCTATGTACATTTGTAATCTTCAGGGTGGCAAGATATCAAAATCTCATAAAGCTAACTTTATCCTGGTTACCAGGATGGAGTGGAAACTTGGAGGGGCAGGAGGAAAGTGATAGAGACTGGGCACTAGGGATGCTGTAAACAGTAAAAGCATTGGCTACTTGTAAAAGAATCCAGTTACAAAAGGGGCCCCTGTGGAAGTCATGTGAGGGGCCAAGCTCATTCCAATCTTTGTATTGGGATTTATTTACATTAGGCAGCAAAATGGCATCCCTGTACTGATAAAAGGAAGCAAGACATGGCATCTCACTCCCTGGAGGCTGTGTGGACTGCTGGGACCTGGGGACACGCTGCTTCCTCTGAGCTGCATTGTTTATAAGGCATTATCTGGTTTGACTTTGCAGTTGGTGTGATGAGCATCATTGCCAATAAGAAGCTGTTGTGGATATTTATGACCCTGGGACTACTTGAAAACTAAGGATGCTCTGAAAAATGTTTCAGAGTCTAGGAAGGACCAGCCTGCAAGCATATTTTATAGTCACAGTGGACACTACATGGTGGGATAGGGCTCCATCTGTACAGACAGACAAAGGCCAAGATGCATATTTAAAAATATTAAAATAGTACTCAAATAGAAGTTGACTAAAGTGGTGTTTCAAAGTTCGTGCAGATCATTATTTACAATAAATAATGCTCCATTCAGAGCCTGCCTGTCAAATGAATAGAGTTGGAGCATGGTAGAGTCTTGACGAGCTATCCTGGTGTCCATCCAACCAAGAACCCCGGGGCCTTGGCTTCATCCATCTTCTCACCGGAGTGCCTTCAGAGATAACTGCAGGAACATGACAGAACATTACTGAAAAGGGGTCAGAAGACTCATTGCCCACAAAAGACCCGCCAGGTCTGGGATCACAAGCTTTTCTTGTGGGTGAGATGGCCCCCTCATGTACAAGGAGATTTTGTTTTGTTTTTGTGCTCCTCCCCCAGGGATTGAGAGTGGGAAGAGATAAAGGAGACCTGAAATTGATGGTATGTGGAGACCGGATACTGTCTTATGAACGTCTATGGAAGCAAGCATAGACAATTCACTTGGCAGGAAGCTCAGGAAAAGCAAACAGCATGATGAAGAAACCTTGAGCAGGCAATAGAAAAGAGGGAAAGGGACCAGAGTCCTCAGACCGGACCCATACCAGTACAGTCTCCAGACAGTGTGTCCTGTGCACTGCTTTGTGTCCTTATGAAGTGAAAATTAGTTAGGACGATGTCCAATGTGACATAAAATAATCTCAACTTTGGGATGCCCAAAGGCAACTTTACAGTCTCTCCTTGACCAAATGGGGGTCTTCTTTACAGGCATCATGGCCAACCCATGGCTGGTAGCCCCAAGCCAGAAGCCTAAATATATAGGTCCAGAAAGATGAAAACCATTGCCACGGGATGATTTAGGTGTGTGCTTGTCCTGGGGCTGGGGACTAGGTCCTACCCAATGGTCCACACAACCTTGCTGTATTGATGGAGATGGTGACTGTTGTTGCTCAGGATTCTATATTACAAAAGCAATGGGAACATTGGGCAGAAGTCAGAAAGTCACCCTGGGTAACTCCTTGACCTTCTGCAACAAGTTTCCCTTTGGGGAAATAGATGAGCTTCTCTCTCCAGCTTGGCCATCACGCTACCATAAAGGGTCAAATGAGGGAACACAGACAAGCTAACTGAAAAATGGAAAAAGCTTTGTAAATGTAGGGACTGGGGGGTATGGCGATTATTTTGTTTTTCTGATTATAAAATTATCTATTCGTTTTAGAAAATATAGGACTGGTGAGATGGCTCAGAGGGCAAAAGCCCTGACTGCTCTTCCAGAGGACCCAGGATCAATTCCTGGCACTCATATGACAGCTCTCTGTTTCCCACTACAGGTGAAAGGTGCCCAGTTACCTCAAGTGCCTGCTTCCACAAATGTGTGCCGCTCCCCTCACTACAGTTGTTCCTGTAAGGCCACTTCTTTAAGGTGTCATACAGCTGCTGAATGACCCAGTTCATCGACAGCCAGCCTGCTGTCTGATACACAGAACTTGGGACCAGGTGTAGGCCAAGGCGGGATTAAATTCATGTGTTTGGAGAAACAAAGGATTTTATCTTTTTCTTTATTTTGGGGGGACAAGGTTTCTCTGTGTAACAGCCCTGGCTGTCCTGGAACTCACTTTGTAGTTCAAGCTGGCCTTGAACTCACAGAGATCTGCCTGCCTCTGCCTCCTGAGTGCTGGGATTAAAGACATGTGCTGCCATGCCCAGTAGCAAAGAATTTTAAAAGAGGAGACCATATCACATGTAGTGAGAGATGTTGCCTCTATCCTGGTTAGATAGAGATTTTGGTCAAAATCAAATTAGTGTTGATGCAAGAAAGGACCCCCAATCTAGTCTGTAGGTGAGTGAGAACCCTGAATCATATGTTACAGATCTTATGGGGTTTCCCGGGGCTCTGGAAGACTCAGAGGAATAAGACTGCAGGGTTCCAAGTGAGTAAAGCTCTTCTGTATGAGGTAGCGACCTAAGGAAAGAAAGCTACATGGCAGACTATGAAAGTCTACATGGCAGACTTTGAATCTGTAGATCTTTCCTTCTGGAGGTACAACAAACGGCATTCTCAAGGAAGAAGAGTCAGAGGAGAAAGCTAAAGCTATGGAGAAGTCCCTGGAGAGCAGTGGTTCTCAACCTTCCTAATGCTTCGACCCTAAATACAGGTCCTCATGTTGCGCTGATCCCAGGCCACAAAATTATTTTGTGATTACCTCATAACAGTAATTTTGCTGCTGTTATGAATTTTAATATAACTATCTGACATGTAGGACCCCACAGGTTGCAAACCTCTGCTGTAGAGGCTTCCAGGCTTTACATTCGGAATCCAGAGAGGTGTTACCTGAGAATTTCTGCTTTTGATGTCATCCGAGCTCTGCCCAGCTGCTTCAGCTTGGAGCCAGGAACCAGGTGTGTGGCCTGAGAGAAACAAGAGTAACCTCACCCACCATCTATTGGCCCAGGGCCTCTGTACCTGTAGAGACACTTCCGCTCAACTAGCACTCACAACACTGGCAGAGGATCCCCAGGCAACATGAGCCCAACCTTCTGCCTTCTGGCCCCTGACAATGTGTTTCCACCCGTCTTCTGGGTCACAGACTATGGGCTCAGGGAGCCACTGGCAGTGTTCTATGAGGAAGCCTTCCTGACAGGCATGTACCCAGCCTCTGGGCACACTTCTCCATCTGCCGTTGTGACATGCCAAGTACCGTGCAGGTACTACCGGCTGACACAATTCAGGCTTCCATTTAGTGAAGCTCCAACAATCTGTCTTTATCTCCAAATTGTACTGTGCTTCAATACTTTACAAGCTGCACAGGATATAATGCCATAGTCAAGAACTGGAAGAACGTAGAAGATAATGGGGGTAGAGGACCCCAATGCCCGCATTTCCCACACTCAAGTCCATTTTTTTGTGCTAGTGTCACCACGGCAAAAGTCTGATTTTTTTGGGGGGGGAGGTTTCGAGACTGGGTTTCTCTGTGGCTTTGGAGCCTGTCCTGGAACTAGCTCTTGTAGACCAGGCTGGTCTCGAACTCACAGAGATCCACGTCTGAATTTTTTAAAAAGATGATTTACTCGAGTTTTAAATTCACATCTCTAGGTGTTTCCATATTTTCCCTTCAGTCAGCGGTTCTGAACCTCATCTCCTGGCATCTTGGTGTGTTTTTCTCCGAGGTGTTTGGGTGGAAGCCCTTGTCACCTGTTTCTTGTCCTGTTGCTGTTGGGGACTGGGGATTACACAGCCACATATCACAGAGTGCCCTATAGTCTGGGTTTCTGAGCTACTTAAAAAGCCACATGGTTACTCAGTGGCTTACAAAAAGATTAGGTGCTGGGACCTTTAGGCTGACATGATATTGCAGCAAGCAGCTGCTTGAATGTTTATGGAGATGATTTGGGAAGGTAAAATTGTATGGAAACAAAAATCTAGGTTTTTCAAATCCATCAAAAAACACAAGAAGCAATTTTCCCCTCTTGGGTGGGTAGAATTGCCATTAAAAAACTCTCCAACACAGCTGGGCATTGGTGGCACATGCCTTTAACCCCAGCACTCAGGAGGCAGAGGCAGGTGGATCTCTGTGGAGTTCCAGACCAGCCTGGTCTACAAGAGCTAGTTCCAGGACAGCCTCCAAAGCCACAGAGAAGCCCTGTCTCGAAAAAACAAAAACTCTGCAACACTTTGGAGGTTTTCTACAGTGTGCACATTGGGCTCTGCAACAGTCTTACAGGGTAGGGCACAGCTTTCAAGGGACCATCACATCAGAGCACAAAGGGCTTTGAAATGCAAAAAACACTAATCAAGGTTTAAACCAGGGACTGTACTTGTTTGAGAACAAAGATTTTTTGGAGCAAATAACCGAGAGAATGTTAGCTTTTCAGCTACTTTGAGTAAAAAGTACCAAAACACTGACAGCCCTAAGGTACTTCCACATGAGGGGCAGCCTTGCAGACTGGGGTCCTTAGCTTTACAAAGGGCCAGTCTGCAACAGAAAAATGTCTCACTTTATATATTTCCAGGTCCAGCTTTTACAAACATTTTAGTTAGCTTGGTCTCCCTTGTGAGTCTGTCCTTGCCCTGTGGGACACTTACCACACCTTTCAGCTCTACTCATCAGTATCTGTGGCAGCCTTACCCAAGCCATGGCCTACTGGTAACCAGCACACAGAACTCTAGATATCACCCATTGCCTCTGGGCACATTTGCCCCCATCTGAAAACCACGGGCTAGTAACGTAGCTATCACGGGTAGGCTTCCTATCAGCTTCCACAAGCTGATCAGAGCAGGGAGGCTAGAGGAAAATCAGCTTCTCCATGAAAAATGGAGGGCAAACTCCACATGTGGTTGCAAAAGAAAAAAAAAAAAACACTTTACTGCTATTAAAAATGAGAGGCTGGGACATCCTGGGGGGCAGGGGGTGCAGGATGCTCTGAATTGATAGAGCACCTTAGAGAGATTTTCCCTTTTGAAGTACTACTAGACTCTGGGGACACTCTGTATATAAACAGTACTTTCCATCTGCTGTTTCTGTCTGATGGGCATTTCCGATCCAGTGGAAGGGCAATGTTCTCACTTTTGCTTCTGAGGTTCAGAGCACGAAATGTATTTCTTTCCTCTTCCCCAGCTCATCTCCCTGCTGTCCTGAGAGTCAATATACTGCCTTCTCCTGACTCACTCACCCACACAGCTGTGGATACAAAGGCTTAAAGGTTATCTGTGCTTGGACCAAGAGCTTCTGATGGCTTCTAGCCTTACTTTTTGTCATGTCCAAACCAAGTGTGCCTTGTTATCTTTTTCTAAGCACAGCCATACTTTCATATTATGAGTAAAATCCATTTAGAGGCAGCAGAAGGGTGGCCAGGTGGGACTTGGGCAGGGAGCAGAAAGAGTTTAAAACTTGGATGGCCATGAAGGCAGAGTCTTAGATATGCCAACACCAGCCTGGGAGAGCAATTCCCGTGAATTGTTTTGGGAAGGGTGGGTCTTAGACCAAACCTGTCAGTTAAGGGCCAACACTGGCTAAGCCTTGCAGGAAAGTGAAGAGGTGCACCATGACGGGCAAAGAGCACTGGATGTGGAGCACAGAACACGGTCGGTCACTAGTCTGTCCTTGTCACCAGGTGGAGACATGAACCAGCTATTTGATTTACTGTGGCTGTATATGGAGAAATTAGCTGTATATGGAGAAATTGACCCAGATGGCCTCAAACAGTCTTCCTAAGTGGAGGATTCTAAACTTACAACATTGCATACCTGGTTTTCCCCACCTTCCCCAGTTGTCACTGTCACAGCATCAGCTGGTATAAAAGGGACCAGATCCGCCAGGTGTTGGTGGCGCACACCTTTGATCCCAGCACTCTGGAGGCAGAGGCAGGCAGATCTCTGTGAGTTTGAGGCCAGCCTGGTCTCCAGAGCGAGTTCCCTGACAGGCTCCAAAAACAATACAGAGAAACTCTGTCTCAAAAAACAAACAAACAAACAAACAAACAAACAAACAAACAAAAGGGACCAGATCCCTTCAATAGAGGCTATCCCACTTGGTCCCTTAGCTGGGTTAGTCTACATTCACTGGTCCCCATTTCCTCCTGTACAGGTACATGGACCAGAAATGGGTTAATCCTATTACTTTCAACTTAAAATTAGTTTTCAAGATCAGACAGCAATATGCATTTATTTTAAAATTCTGGACAGAATAGTAAAGAAAAAGAATGAAAGCCACACAGCACTCCCCACACTTAACATTTTTGTGTACTTCTAGTCTCAACTCCTCCTTTACTACATAACACAGAAATCAATACATTTTTGTAAAATATTTTGTGTTCTCTTTGTACAGTCTTGCTTCAGCTGTTTTTACTGACATGGTAGTGTCACCATTCTGGTGTCACCGAATATTCTGTTTTAATGGTCACAAGAGTTCTAGCATATGACCGCTGTAATTAATTTAATCCCATTGATAGAACTTGGGGTGATTTCCAAATTGTTTGCTCTATAGGGAGTTTAGCAATGTATATGTGATGGATACTTTTTAGTTTTCAATTCAACCATTATTTATTGAGTGTGTGGTTGGCCCCATTCTGGGAGGAGAAGAGACAGAAGACAAAGATGACTGATGTCTTTGATGGGACAACAGTCTGGGTGCAGGGAACAGAGGCTGTTGGAGGGCGGGGATGCTGGGCCACTTTTAACATGGAGGTCCAGTAGTGGCCATGAAGGAGTGTCTGCCATGACTGAGGGATCAGAAAGCCCAGGAGGAGAGAACGGGAGAGGAACTACAGATGGAGTGTGTGTGGGGGAACAAAGGGTGTAGAGGCAGGTTAGACAATTGCAAAGGCAGAGCAACATCTTTGCCATCTTCACAGAAGTAAGGCATACCCAGAAAACAGCATCGTGGAACAAACAGTGGACTGCTAGAAGTCAGATGAGAAAGGGTGTGGTCAACAGCATTATCAAGAGTGGTAAAGGGTCCTCTCCCATTGTCACCACAAAGGTGGGACTAGATATGACCAGAGGCCTTGTGCTTTTTCTACTGTGTATCAAACTCTTGGGACACCCAATCCTTTGATTTTTGAAAAGTAAACCCATGGTGATGTTAAAGTTATGGCAATGTGGTGAGGAAGTTTTGTATCTCATGGGAGTATTTGGATAGTATATCATGAGTAGTCTTTAAAATAAGAGTTGGACAACAGTGAGGCATCATACTGCACTCACTAGAGTGGGTATGAAAAAAACAGAAAAAAATTCAATTACAAACTGAAGATAGTGTTGGTGACGATGTGGAAAAATTGAAACCGCTGTGTACATATAGTGGAAATGAGAATTTATTGAATTGCTATGGACTGTAAGGTGGTTCCTCAAACAATTCAAAGAAGAATTTCTATATGATCTGAAATTCTACTTTGGGATATGTATGGAAATCAATTGAAAACAATCTTAAGAGACCTCTGAACACCCAGTCATTAGAGCACTAGACCCGAGTAATGATTTACACAGGTCCCCTGTGATGACTAAAGAGTACTGTGGAGCCAAGCATCCCTTAAGGGCTGCTGACCTTTGCTCTGGAATGCATGGGAGATCTTGTGGCTTGCAGGTGAGATAAGAACGGGAAAATGGCTGTGTGTGAGGTCTCAACAGCTGCCTTTGCTTCTGTAAAACCTGCTATTGCTATGGGAAAGGGATGGAATGTCTTCTTATTGCTATATAGCAGGAAAGTAAGCAACAACTGAGGGAAATAAAACCATTTTCTTAACCAGCTGTGGATCCCATGGATAGCTGCAATGCATACCTTTCTGATGTCCACCTTTAAAATCCCCCCTCAATGCCCGCTTCCACATGGCATGCTATTTGGCTCTAAGGCTGCTGTCCTTCTGCTAGCAGTAAGAATAAATTCACTAATCTAAATTTGAATTGAGTCTAAGTCTTTGGCTTCTCCCGGTAGCCACACACGTGCATTCATAAATGTAATGTGTAACCATCACCCTAAAAGGAAACCCCAGAGCAGTCAGCCATCACTCCTCATTTCCCATGTTCTACTCACCGGCCACTATTCTATGTCTTGCTCATTTTTGACATTTCATTTAAGTGGAATGTGGTCTTGGGGCGATTCACTGAGCACAATGGTTTCAAGTACATCCGGGTTATATGTCTCAGCACTGACTATTTTTTCTGACTCCTTTTTATAGTTGAACTGTATCCTGCTGAATGGCTATACCAAACTCTTGATCAGTTCATTAGCTGTTTACAACTCTTGATTATTACCAATTATTTGGCTATAGATGTTATATCCATGTTTTTATTTGAACATTAGCTTAAAATTCTTTGGGGTCTAACGGATGAGAGGAGTTGATGGGTCATGCTGTAGTTTGGATCTGAAATGCTAAAGGCTTTGGGGTTCTATTGGGAGCCTTTAACAGGTGGGGCCTAGGAGGTCTTAAGTCGCTGGAAGACTTGCCCTTGAAAGATTGACACCTGAGCCCTATCCTGTGTTTCTCTAAGAATAAGAACTCATGTCTTCATCCATCTGATACCTGTGCACGCTTCCCAAGATTGCTGTGCAGGACAAACCCACAGCTGCCATTTACTGACATCTGCCAGCTTGAGTCCTGTGCCAGCCGAGCCAGGTACATGGGGCCCTGACATGCCAACATCAAGCCAGTTAACTGAGGTGTTCTATAAACAGCCACCAGAACTCTTATGTATTAAGAAAATTTTCACTCGTCTGTCCTGCCTAGTTTTATGTCAACTTGATGCCAGCTAATATCATCTGAGGTGAGGGGACCTTGATTTAGAAAATGCCTCCATAAGATTGAGATGTAGGGGAGCCTGTAGGGCATTTTCTTCATTATTAATTGGTGGGGGAGGGCCTAGTCCTGCACGTGGTCCTATCCCTAGACTGGTGGTCCCGGGTGTTATTACAAAGCAGGCTGAGCAAAGTGTGAGAACAAGCTGGTAAGCAGTGTTCCTCCATGACCTGAATCAGAGCCAGCATCCAGGTTCCTGAGCTGCCTGAGTTCCTGCCCAGACTTCTTCAATGATGGACAGCTTCCTGGAAGTGTAAATGAAATTTACCCTTTCTTCCCAAGTTGATTTTGGTCATGGGGTTCCATCACAGCAATAGAATCCTTAACTAAGACACCCACCCACTTCAGAGTGTTGGGTGGGCACCTGGCTTCTCACTGTGGCCTCTGATGCTCACAGTGTGTCTGTCCGCTGCCACATGCCAGTTCATGTGCATGCAGCCTGAGAAGGAATGCCAGGCAGACACAACATTCACTTTCACCCACAGCTAGTTTTCACTGCCCACCAAAACCTGGAGAAGGCTTTGCTTCCTGCACCTTTACATTCCTCTTTAATTACTCTTATTCAGAGGGCACACCAGGCCCCTCTGTCTAGAGTGAGCACAGCAGAGAGACTGTGCCCATGCAGCTGAGATGTTGACAGCCTCTCTGTATTGGGCAGAACAGACATCCCTGCTCAGCTCCCCAGGAGCTGAGTCCCATAGAAGGTACTCTGCTAGGCCCTCTGCAGGGACAGGTCCACTGAGTCTGCTGTTCCTGGACTCTGGTTTGGGGCCAGTCTTAAACATGTAATTTTCCTTTTGAGTGTACAGCCAAGTGATTCTGACCCCACTTTGGTGGTGGCATAAGGACACATCCAACCTCATGTTGCCGCTTCTGTCCTCTCCTCCCTTCTAAAGTCCTGGATGACCTAGCACTGCCAAGAACTGCACAAGACTGCTAAGAGGCTGCAGAACCCTGTGCGGTCATCCCGCTAACCCTCGGTTTTCTCTGGACTTCCAGCTGTTTTGGCCCTAAGAGGCTTCCATCTAGCCTCCTTTCAGAGCCTGCCTATACAGTGGAATTGGGAGAGAGAGTCCCTGGGCTATGAGGGACTTCTACTTCAGCTGTCACTGGAGATGGCTGGCAGCTTGCAGAAACCCTGACATCTGGGTGTCACTCTTGAGGATGTGCAGCCAGGCCTCCAGGAGTTTAAAAAGCTGCTGGTCATTGTCATGTGTCAGCAAGATGGAGAACAACTAGCCTTTGGACATTTTCCATTTCATGGTTTGTCAGAATATGATGGGGTTCTTCTCCAGGTATTAATGCAAAGAGTCCATGTCCCATTTCTCTGTTGTTTGGGTGTCAAGCCTCCAAGCCAAAAGCCCTGGGGAGGGAAGGATGCACCCCTCGTTCTACCAATTCCAAGGGGATGCCAGTTAGCTCTGGTGCTCTATAGAAACCTCTAAACGAACCATTAGGTAGCAGGACCAGTTAAGCTTGTAGAAGTCTGCACAGCACAGTATCCTCGCTACAGGACAGTAAAGTCACAGGGCTCTCTGCAGGTGCTTTGTATTGTGGAGGGTCTTGTCAAAGTGGTACTTACTTCTGGGGACCTTGCTGGGGTATATCTTCTGACATGGTTTGAATTCATCTGGAGGGGGAAAGTCTTCCATGGAGTGGAACGTGAATTTAGACTCGAAGTCATCTGTACATGTGAGAAATACGGGAATTGGAGTTTACTCAGATTGCTACTGTGACCCAAGTGTGACTGTTTGCAGAGGCACACAGGTTGCACTGACTGAATACCCTGCTTGCTGCTCTCCTGCTGTGTGCAAGGGTTTCGATGACAGGGTTATTTCTCCAAGAGTCCACCTGCTTTTCGAGTATTCTTGGCTGGTCAAGAGGATGCGGCAGGGGCAAAGTGCAGTCAGTGCCCACCCACCTAAGGGAGCTGCTGAAGGAACAGAAAAGAGCTCCAGCCAGGGAGGAAAACCTAGCAAAGGACCTGGTATTAGGTTCCAACAAGATTACCTGCCGAATTCCCTAAGGGAGGTTTTGAGAAGGAGACACGGCAGCTCAGTTGTGTGCAGTGTCAGGCCTGGCTTCCCAAGCAAATGGGTTCTGTCCTAGAACTCTGGTGAGGAGGGAAGGGGCCCTGGCCCCTCTCTGACCTGACAGAGGCTGAGCACACAGAAGGGACATGGAGTTTTGAGGATCCCAAGTGGCTTTCTTCCAATCTCTTGTTTTAGTTTTCCTCCTGCCTGGCAAGATGTCCACTTATTCCCTCCCCTTATCAAGCCACTCTGGTTTTTTAGGCTTATGGACCTATTCTGCAAGGAGATGTGCACATATCTGCACGTACAAGTTAGCGCCAGATGTCGTCCCTTCCTCCAATCTGAGTTACATGGCTAGAGAGCGGGTCCTAGACCTGTCCGGAAGTCGTAGAGGGAAAGTCCCTATTTGACAGATCCTGAAGGCTATTCGGTGTTTCTCTATTCGTCGCTCACTGAGAAACAGATACTGCAGCAGACAGCATGGGAAGCTGGTCAACTGTCTGCCCCCCTTGGGTGGCAGGGGAGCCTTTGTCCTGTCTTAGAGGGGCAGGAAGCCTGCTCTGCAAATGGAATGGAGTCCTTACCCATCACGTGCTGGCCTCCATTCCGCAGCTGGCCTCCAGGCTGCTGGCTTTTGCTGGAAAGCTCTGTGGTGGGCGATCTTGCAGGTGGCGCTGGAGGTGGGTTTAGCTTCCCCCCACTGGTTCCTTAACAGAGAAGAGGACGGCCATTCATACACAGAAGCGTGACAGTCGATTTTAACTACGCAGGAGATTCGGTGCTTAGCCCCTGCAATGTTATGTGATAAGTGAGAGGGCAACAACTGGAGCCAACCTGATTGGGATTGAATCACAGTTTGCTTAACTGGCACAAGTCACATACCCTCTTTGTACCTCAGTTTTCTCATCTATACAATGGGAATAATACCGGCAAACATTTTCTGGAGTGGCTGAAAGGATTAAATGAGTTAAAATGCATGATTCTATTGTACCAGCCTTCGTGGCCACTATACTATCAATGATGTGATAACCCAGTTGTTCAGATGACACTGGAAGAGATCCCCTGCGGAGCACTAGGAGCTGGAAGAGAAGTCCTACAGGCGAGGGCCCAGTGAGGTGAGAAGGACTTTCAGAGGGGTGTTCCTGGCCTGGCCTCTGCCCCCACCAGCTCTCTCATGCTACAAACCTTGGTTCTTCTTCCAGCCTGGGTAAAACCTTCTTGCCAGCCAGGGCCCAATTTACCCCAACCCCCTTCCTCACACCTTCCCTGGTCATGGAGGTGAGCCTCTCTCCTTCTCAGCGCTTTGCAGCTGCCTCAGGCAGTGTCTCTAACCCACATCCAGGTGCCTCAGTACCAGCGTCCCACTGCTACCCATTTCCTCAGTGAAGCGGCTATGTTCTTGCTGTTTGCAGTGAGAAAACTGCCCCAGCATCCTCGGAATCAAGAGTACCCTCACTTTGTAGCTATCCAAAGATACAAGAACAAAAGCTAGACAAGTGCCTACGTTAGCCAGGGGACTTCAGTCTGGAGCAAGTAGCAGAGTGCCACGTGAAGCGCGCACCAACCGCACCATCCAGCCTCTGGCATACCCTCAGGGCTTCCAACTCTTTTTTTTTTTCATTTTTGGTTTTTCAAGACAGGGTTTCTCTGTGGCCTTGGAGGCTGTCCTGGAACTAGCTCTGTAGATGACCAAGCTGGTCTCGAACTCACAGAGATCC